AATCCACAATCTAATTAAATTCCTGCAAAATTTGAAATTCATGTTACTTTATGCATTGAAAATAAATATTTTGCCTTTATATAATTAAACATCCAACAAGGGACCAGAGAGATGGCTCAGCAGTTAAGAGCACTGGCTGTTCTTCCAGAGGACCTGGGTTCAATTCCCAGAACCAACATGGCAGCTCACAACTGTCTGTAACCCCAAGATCTAACACCCTCACTCAGACATACACGCATGTATATAAAATAAAAATAAGTACATTTAAAAAACAGCCAACAAAGTTGTTATTGGGAAAGGAATTTTCTAAGAGTTAATGGAGTGCTGTCAAGAAGGAGCATCAGAAAGAAGCACTTGCCCTCACACCTGAAGACACAAGTTCAGTCCCTGAGAACTACGTACGCGGTGGAAGAGAGGTCTGACTCCTGCAAACTGTTCTCTGACTTCCTCGTGTGTGAAATGACATGTTCACACACACACACACACACACACACACACACACACACACACACACACGAATACATTTTGAGTAGTAAAAATAAATTCAGAACAATAATTTGACACTGTGGATGTTAAAGTCACAGATACACTGAGAAGTTGAAGATGTGACTGCAAAGTGGCCTTTTTTCAGAATCGTTTTGATCTCTCCCTCTTCACCGCTATCCTAATTTGGCCATGACTACCTATGTGACACCACTGTTTCAATATTACTTTTCTTTCCATTTTGATGGGCCAGTATAAGCTGGCTAACATTGTCTTGGCACTTTGCTTTCAAATCAAATCTTTCTTACTAATATAGTTCCCATGCTCCGACTTCAACTAACCTGCTTTACAAAATTTCCCATCCATTACAGTTTACAAATCCTTTGAAGATAAGAACAGAAGATACTAAATTAAGGCAAGCAAACATACTGTAAAACCAGACTCCTTAACTCTAAGGCACAGAGGTTTCAAGACCTTACCCCTGAAAGCGCTGGGTGTGTTCTGAGTGTTTTCAAAGTGCTTTTAGGTACACAGCAGAACTACCTATGTACCAATATTCTGTAAATGTTTTATATTCTAACAAATAAAATCATAAAACGGAATATGTGCTTTTTGAACTACTTATCTCAATAAGATGCTATATTTCTTTATAAATTAATAGTTTAATGTTTATAAGAGATGCCCATCACACAGATGGAACCATTTCTTCTGGTGCTCTTAAAAGTCAAGAATGACAATGTGGTATCTGTTTCACTACACACGAGGGTGGATTTACAGAGAACTAAACTTTCAATTCTTAGTCACTTCTAAAATTTTCTACCATTAGAACCAGGAGCATAATTGATTTGGGGAGAAAGATTCTGTTTTTCTTTTTATACATTGTAATCTCATCACATAAGATATCCTGCATTGCTATGTTCTGAGACCACGCTTAAGGGCAGGGCCAATGACACTTAACTCCCTCAGACTCATGGAAGGCCTTTCCAATTCTTTTCCTTTTGACAAAATGGCCCTGGTATCCCACCCAACCAGGTGTGCCATAGCATTAGAATCATTTTTCATAGATGTAAATGAATTTTTGCAGTATTTGAACATGACCATAAATTTTGCAAAGCAAAATAGTTCCGCACCCCTTCCTAGTGTACAGGAAGATGTTAACATATAATGAGGCATACGAACAGTTAACAGTTATTTTAGTGCCTCATTAAGTCTTACCCTTCATTTTTAGCAATTTCCCATGGTCATCTTTATTTCAAACTCATTCTCTCTCTCTCTCTCTCTCTCTCTCTCTCTCTCTCTCTCTCTCTCTCTCTCTGAGTCTGTCAACCTCCAGCCTTGATGCACTCTCAGGCAAGCCCTGCCTGCTGGTTCACCACCATTTGAGACTCATGAGCTTCTGCTCCAAGTTCAATGGAAAAGCAAGCACACCCTTCCAAAATGACTCTGGCTATTATAACTAATGGACAGCAGGTGGAGTCAGGGCAAGGAGAACAGGAGGTGTTTACCATAGATGCTTCTTCACAAAGACCCACTAGCCTGAGTACAGGCAGGTAGGCCTATAAGTTTCAGAGTATGCCTTTTGTTGGTGCTTCCAAGTCAAAAGACTTGACATTGCCCAGGCCTTGTCTGTGACTCCCCAATTCCAGACCTTAGTTTACTCACATATGGAAATGGGTCCTGTTTGCCAATTTTTTTTCTGTGAAATATAAGTCTCAGATGGTCAATAAACATTTTTATATGTTATTAATATTCACGCACAGCAGCTTATTCTCTTTGGTTACAAATCACTTATTTTTAAAATAGCAAAACATTGTTTCATCTGTCCAATAATCTAATATTTATGTTCCAGTGAAAGAGGCATTTCAAATCAATAAGCACAGTCATGGGCCATATAATATTATATCAGCCAACCCAAGGTTACATGGACCACAGTGGTTCCATAAGATTATTAGTTAAGATAAAGTACCTCATTGGATATTGATCAGTTTGAGTCAGTTCCTTACATACTTTCAAACTGATAGAATGCTGTGTTTTTGTCAAGGTGAGTTTTAGATATTTTTAAAAATATAAACAAACAGGAGCAAGAGCTAAATTGAATTGTATTCCATTTGTCCATGTGAGAAGCAAAAAGATTGCTATTCTTTAACATTTTACTTTTAATTGTGTGTGTGAGTATATGCATATGTGTATGAATGCAAGTGTGAAGTCAGGTTCCAACAGAGTCTAGGAGAGGCTGTTCGATCCCCTGGAGCTGGAGGTACAGGTAGCTGTCAGTTGTCCTGAGATGGGTGCTGTGAACTAGACGCAAGCCATCTGCAAGAGCAGTACACACTGCCAACCACCGGGCCATCTCTCTAGCCCTAAGATTAATATTTCTAATAAAGACATCATATAAATGGATAAGAGTAAGCAAATGTTATGTAAAATATAGACAAATAATTGAACGGATTAAGCATTTTAAAAGCAACATAGCTATACATATGGAAAAGTTACACTACTGTTTAAATTGATGTAAAAATTAACACATTTCCCAAGATGACATTCTCTTTCCCTCTTAAAAGTCACTACCACAAAGCAAGGAAGATAAGAGACACAGACTCCATATTGAATGAAACTAGGTGGAACAAACAACTTAAAGCATAAAATATCAAGCCTGAAAAGTAAATGGAGATTTAGGCAACAGGAAAAGAGTAGTCAACGGGAGCAGGGAAGGTGCAAAGCCAGTTGTGCTTACTCCCCCATTAAGCAGCAGGATATTTTAGGCTGTAGCTGAGACATGTTTAACCACAAGTTCTCATGAAAAGCTACTGACAGTCAGGGGGGAAGGGAGCTGGTGCCTGTGTGTTTATATGAATGTAGTAAATGTTACCAATAGAAAGGAAAAAGGGCACATGACATCCAAATAACGAAATAAATAATCTTTGCTTCCAATCCCCTATTGCCAGTTATTGTACCTGGTGGCCAATCTTATTGTAATCAGTGAGTGAGTCCAGCACCCACCTAATTGTTGATTGATATTTTCAGCTAATCATTAAGCAAACATAAGATAATAAAGTTACCTTGTGTATGAGGTGAATGAGTGCTTTGCTGGGTTAGAAAACAACTATTAATATTTGAGTTAGAAAATAACTATAAATATTTGACTAAGCACTAAAAATGCACTTGTTACACTGGTCATAATTGATAACTAGAGAAGGCACTCTTAAGTCTAAATTGCATTGCCAGCATCTTCTCTATCAGTTTCTCAAAATAAAGATGAGAAAACAATGACGGAAGCATGGTGCTTTCAATTTCTATGAAAAAAAAATATGTGCTTATACAGTCCAGTTCCATTAACTGTAACGTCAGAGAGAATGCCAGCAACACCCAGTTACACAGTATTTCCCCCTTTCACTGTGCATATCACAATTTATATAACAATTTACATGGATTAAATGTATTTAACTATTATATACTTCCTCGAAATTGTTCTATTCCTGTTGGGTTCCTCGTACCTAGAACAGAACTTGGCATTTTTGTAGGCATTCTACAAATATTTATTAAATGAAAAATAAAACATTGAACTTACTCTTTGTCAGACACTATCCTCAGTGTTTTGTATATGTTGGGCTATAACATATGTTGGGTCACAGAACCCTATACATCATTATTACATCGTATAAATGTAACCAGCGAGTAATTGATCCAAGCCAGGATTTAACCCCATGCATTCAGTTCACACTCTTTACCACAGAATATTCTCTTAGACTATCAGAGACATATTGTTGGCAAAGAGAAATCCCAGGATGAATGTGATGTTGCAGAATTGAAAAGCAATAGAGAACTGTATTAGCACTTGGGCAGCAGGGGATTCAAAGACAAGTGAATCTCTTTGAGTCCTGGGCCAGCCTGGTCTACACGAGATCCTGTCTCAAAACTCAAAATAAAATAAAAGGCAACAGGGTCATGTTAGAAGAATTGAACAGAGACAGTATACTGGAGCTGACAAATGCCATACATTTGCATAAAAATGCTCAAAAATACAAGCAATTTAGTAGGCATTGTTAGGTGGTGGGAATATGGGCAATTCATACTTCAGTGCTCTTAATATCATATTATAGTTTTAACAATGTATATGATTTACTTGTGGGATGACTTAATGGGCTTTCACATAAAAAAACATAGCTCAAACAAAATATAATTTGTTAAAAGTTCAAAGAGCGTGTCAAAACAAGTGTGTTGTCTATGAGAATAGATCTCTTTGGTCGAAAATGCAGATCCAATGGAAAAAAAATAAAGTATATTTGTAAATTCATGAAGAATGTAGTATAAAGTTGATGTACAATTGTTCACAAAATCAAGAGTGTCAAAATTAAGGTTTATAAAAATCCCAGAAAGGGCAATATACATAAAATATTAGATATTTTAAAGCATTCACTCCACAAGGAATATACATTTTTAATGTTCTATTCAAGATTGTCCCTGCATGTTTGGACCATTTGATGATTTGTCTTAATTTACTATCCTTTGCGTTTTAGGTACCAGCAAAAGTCAGACACCTTACTCAACAACTTCCCTGCCACCACCTCCAATGTCCCATCCAACCATTCAGCCACCACTGCCAGCGTCTCATCCAACACAACCGCCAGTCCCAAGCCTACCCCCCAGAAACATTAAGCCTCCCCTTGACCTGAAGTAAGTAAAGGATTGTCTTACAATTTTATCACCAATATCTTGCCTTGGGTTTCCAAATTATTTATGTCTGGGTGCAAAAACATCTATGGAAAACTTCTGTGGTGCTTTAGTGGGTGTTTGGCACGAAAGTGGTCAGTACAGTGATATTCCACTATAATAGTATTCGCTGACTTCACCTTAGCCCCCCCCCCCACACCAAACAGTTAGTTGGTCTTTTGTCCATAATCTACAGGGTAAAATTATATTGAGATCTTCCTTAAGTGCTTCACATTTCAGCAAATTAAAAACCCATTTATTATGAGTACCCATGACTATTTTTTTGCTTCTTAACACTTCCATAGGAGTTTAAAGTTAGTAACTAAGGATTCATGAGTAGCTTGGTGTGTTTTATCTTCTATGTGGGCTGCTCTGCATATGCATATTAACATTGTGCCCCTCCAGGCATTTCCGTCTCTAGATGTTTCATTGAAAACTCAAACATCTTGAGAGATTCTGCTATCAAATAAGACATCTGTTTGCTACTATATTAAGGCTAAATAAATGTTAGCTTAATTAAAGTAACAAGTATATAGTCTCTTAAACATTTCATTTCCATATAAATTATTTTTTCATATGCATAAAATAATATTTCTTATTCCTAATTTTCCTTACCCTCTAGTAAATATAACTTTTTGAATTTATGTATCAGAATTTCTTTTTCATGTATTTATTTTTATTTTACTTTTTTTGCTTGGTTTTGTCTGAGACAAATCCTCACTGTGCTTCTCTGGCTGGCCTAGAACTCACTACATAGCCCAGGCTGGCTTTGATCTTAGGAAGGTCCCATTGTCTCCCCCTCTCAAGTGTTAGATTACAGGCATGGGCACCAGTGAGCCCACGACCCTAACACTTCCTAAGTCTGTTACATATCTCCATCCCAGACACCAGCTTCAGTAAAGCCTCTAAGTATGGCATAATTTTAGTATGAAACCTTCACAAATAACTCAAATGTGACTTCTGAAGACTGATAAGACTTGGAGGTCAGTCATCATTTTATTAAGGACATTAAGGGAAGGAAGGGTCTTTGACACTCTATTTACTGCTTTCAGAGTCCTCCAGACCACACACATATCTAATGACTCATTAAAAGGACTCACAGAACTCAGTGTACATGAGAAACTAGTATTCATTAAGGTAAAGAAGGGGAAGGGACAGCCAGCAGGTGGCACTGTCTAAGCACAGGCTTCCATACAGAGAGCATAACTGTGAAACACAGTGGGTGACTCGGCAGCCGCCAGCTGAAGCCGACCAGAGATGGTAGAAACTGCACGGTTTCCACAGGGAGCAGAGAAGTTGTCTCATAGGTTTCTTGGGCCTAGCAGCTATCAGAAGACCAGAAGTCTAGAAAGCAAGCAAGCATTCATATCAGTCACATGATTGATAAGGTCTCAAACAGCAAAATACTTTTATCAGCTAGGCCACTTTCACTGCAGTGTACATTTGCAGAGAAAATGTGTTTCTGTGTATAAGCCACAGGCCAGCCTTGGCAGCACATTCTTCTAAAATATAACAAATCTGATCCTGTTGTGTTAACTCTTTGAAAAACCTCATCCCTAGAATGGATTGGGACAAGGCTCCTAAACAGGCTGTAGAAGGAAGAAGGAATCCAAAGGCATTACTATATCATTGGATACTAGTTAATATGCCAGCTTTGTAAGGAGACACAAAGGCAGAGGGCTTGGATTCTTAAAGGTGAGGTGATATTGTTTCCATCAGTTATTCACAAAGTCCACTGTAGTAATAAAATATGCTTTATTTAAAGAAACTCCTCTTAGTGACTCATCTATGGTCTTCCAACTTAATAAAACAAAACAAAAAACCACTTGGAAGAAAAGCAGAAAGAATAAAAGGGGCTTGAGTGTTTTACATTACCTGGAAAAATATCTGTGCTTGGAGTATCTAGAAGCTTGTTGCCATACTCAGGAAAAGGCAAATGTGGGAAAAGCTAAGGATATATACAGCTAATTTGTTTGTTCAAAAAAGAGAAAGCATAAACAGTTTTAAAGTTCCCATCAGTAAATTTCACAATGAGGAAATATCTAGATTAGAAAATTTCCCCCATGGAAGGGGAAGTTAAATAAATGCATAGAGGAAACAAAAGCAAAATGGACACTCATGTTCAGGCTCAAGAGTTTGTGTGAGATGTACGGGTTGGATTTGGAATAGGAAGATGCAGGTGTAAGATGCAGACAGAAGATGCAGTGTTTCTCTGCTTCCTTACCCAGGTTTCAGAATGTGTCTATGATGCTTCCCAAGTGCTGCTCTGCAACTGTTCTCCCACTAATCAAAATCCATTCTCATGTCAAGATCTCCTAGGCTGTTCAAACATCCACTCGGCAAGTCTTTGCTGTGTCACTCCTCTATAGCCTTTCAATTAAACTTCAGGGAATATCATACACAAAACAGCAATCCCTCCCTGCCTTTATATAGAAGCAAGGACCAGAGAAAGTGGAACAGTCCAACAGGTAAAAGATACTCTAGGGGCCAGCAAGAGTCAAATGCTGAGAGGGACAGCAGAGTTAGTGTGTGTTTGGGGTGGGATGGGTAATTACAAACAGAGGATTGTTACAACTTTAAACAGAGACGCAAGGTAGCAAAGATTCCAGGAATCATGGGCGTTAGGTATAAAGCCGTGGTAGGAGAGAGGCTGAATAGAGGCCTAGAGAGTTCAAAGGCTAAGGAAGGAGGTTATCAGAGCAACACAAGAGGCAGCAAGAGAACGGGCAATGGGAACAGACAGCTCATCTAGGGCTCCATGCCTTGTGACAGTCTGTAGCTGTCACCCTGAAATGAGAACTCCTGCAGGTTGGAGAACAGGACCACCAGGTGTTTTGACTTGTGTCACTTTCAGTAAATGGGCAAATAAATGTCAAGGGCAGCAGCAGAACTAACGAAATGTTACAGAAAGGCAGGCAAGCTAGTGAGGCATTCTAACCAAGATGAGCTGCCCTCTGTGGAGGTGGAAAGAAATGTCTGCACAATGGAGAAACATTGAGGGGAGCAACAGAAGAATTTGGATTTAGTTAAAAAACTCACAGTAAGGATTATGGGTGGCTCCAACGCCTTTGGTCTTAGAAACTGGAATGAGAATAATTCTTTCAAATGGCATAAGGAGGCTGCAGGTGAGTCGTTTGGAAGGAGAGGAAGTAAGTCATGACTAGGAACCAAATAAACTGCACTGCCATTCAGAACCCCTTGCTGCTCTTAAAGAGGAAGTAGGTTCAATTCCCAGCAACCACGTGGTGGCTTACAAACATCCATTCCCGTGGAACCCAACAGTCGTTCACACACACAGGCAGGGGAAGCATCCATATACATAAAAGTACAATGAATAAATCTAAAAGTATTTTTTTAATGTCATGGCTCTGATAAGCCTCAAGTGTTATTTAAAGTTCAAGGAGGGAACTGAGGAGGTGATTGGAGAGTTTAAAATAGAGAGTTTCAGAGACAGAGTTCTGGTAAAGATACCAGACTGGAGAGATATCAGACTGTATTCCATACTTAAGTTATAAGGATACTAAGTTGAGCAAGGAGAGAAGGAAGAAGGAAGGAGTGCAAACAGAAAAGACAGAACCCTGGGTCTGGGCCTGCCTGGGGGGAAAGGACAGAGGAGAAAAAGAGGAAAGAAGAACAAAGTGCATGTACTGAGGGGCCAAAACTGGGGGTGGTGAGCAACAAGTGCCTCAGATGCTGCTGAAGACCAAATGAGAGCATTGGTAGGCAGGAAGGAGTTAGGAAAAAGCAAGTGTACCTGATGATACGGTTTTCAAGGGGTGAAAGGTGAGGCTGCAGAGGCATTGTTCTACCTCCATCCTATTGCTGAACTGGAACACTAACTAAAAGCATCTGGAAGGAGGAAAGGACTTATTTCATCTTGTCCTTCCAGGTCACACTCCATCGTGAAAGGAAATAAGGGCAGGAACTCAGGACAGGAACCTGAAGGCAGGAACTATGGAGGAACATGGCTTGCTGGCTCACTCACTCACAATAACTGGCATGGGAAAGATTTTTGTTTCTGTTTCTGTACTTGGAGGCAGGAATTCATGTAACTAGAACCTAGGCTGGTCTCAAGTATACTAAGTAGTAAGGATGTTATTGAGCTTATATGGAAATAACATGTTTTTCTTTGGTGATAAGAAGCAGTCAGTAAAAAGGAAAAAAGTATTGTAGACAGGGAAGATTCCTGGAGGAGAGTTTTCCTCAACTTCAGTCTAGTGAGGGATGGGCTAAGTGACTGACAAGGTTAGAACTCTCCCTGAGTGCACAGTAGGAACTCCAGTGGAGTCAAGGGAGGAATCTGGGGAGATGTGGACTTTGATTATGTGGGTGGGACCTGTTCTACTTGCTTCTGAAGTTATCCCCAGGAGTGACTTGTAATCATGTCATTCAGGTCAATTTATCTTATAAGTGTGAAAGGTCTGGATGTAAAAAGGAACCAAAGATCATGAAGACAAAGTTATATGTATTTTAAATTGCATTGTTTCCCCACCTAGTGGTCAGAATACATACAGCTCATTACATTTTCTTCCTGTTTTACTCAGACTCAAGTGAAACGGATCGTGACATTGAGATTTCATTATTAATGTTCGGATCAGTGTTTTTCGCTGCAGCACATTTCTTAGTACCATTTTAAAATGAATTGGAAGTGTAGCAGCATAACTGGCCCTTCAGATGGAAACAGAACCAGTGGTTGAGTTTTTATATACAAATCCAATCCTGTGGCTATAAATAGTAATAAGACAGGAAAGTGAGGTAATGAGAAATAATAAAGAATGGGAAGTGACTAAGGTTAGAAGAGGAAAGGGCAAAGTGTTCTTCCCCCCAAGTAGCTCTAGTTAGTAGAAGGGATTGTTTTGAATAAAAATGTACCAGCACAATTTTGTAATTAAGTACAAGTGCTTCCAATTTTCCAGAACTTGAAACTTGGCTCATCAGTAGACCATCGTCAAATAGCCTTACCTAACTCCATTTGGAAAGTTTTGGCTTGGGCGAGTCATAGTTTTGACATTTCTTGTAGGTTAAGTATAGAAAGACATGTTCCAGAGTGAGGGGTTCATTCCTGATGAGGGTGGGTATGAAACAGTTTTATGATTCACTTAGATCACCTCTTCCTTCCAAAATAAGATCCAGCAATAAAAAGCTAAAAGCTAAACTTATGAAGAGTGGATACAGCATAAAAAACAATTTTACATCTTTAAATGTTAGGATACAGAACCCCTGGAGGTTTTGTTTGTTGGCTTTCTTGCTTGCTTCCTTGGTTTTACCAACCTGGGGATTGAACCAGGGTCTCACACACACTAGGCAATGCACCCTGTCACTGATCTAAGGTCCCACCCTGCCCTAATGGCTTTCTAACATGACAGGTTTAATGTTAAATGAACTTCATTTAGTTCTTCAGGCTATGGCATGAAAACAAAGAACTGTGGTGAAGGGCTGCTCCCATGGACTTATCACCACTGATAAGGGTCCTTCTGTTTCTCCTCCTTTGCCTCCTCCCTCTGCTCAGTTGTCTGTGTCGTTGGTCGTGACTAGCTCCATTGTTTTCCTCTATGCCTTGAACACTGAGCAGTTGTGGCAATTGGACTTGTTTTTTTCAGGACATTTTCACCTATTTCTTATCCTCGTCTGTGTTCATTTTATTCTCCACTATCACTGCTATTGTGGTCACTATTACATACTTATTACTTTAATATGACATATAGCATAAACTCAGACCTCTATAAAATGGCATTAAATTGAGTATATGTGGGCAAATAACGTTTTCTAGGGTAAGAAATGCTTTGCTGAACTTGAGCTTCTCAATAATCCTTTTTTAAAAAACCACAATAGTAGCATAGACATGAGATTAACACCTACTCCAGTATGTGTGGATTTTAAGTCAGAGCAAATATTAATGAGAAAACAATAATTCAATAATTTTCCTTTTTTGTATTTTTTTACGTTTGAGACAGTTCTCTAATTGAGTCATTTACCCCTTCCCCCACCCCCCCCCGAACCTTCCTATACAACCTTCCTTGCTCTCTTTCAAATTCATGGCTTCTCTTTTCATTGATCGCTATTACATGCATGCATTCATGTATATTTTCATTTTAAAGTGAACAAAATTGCCTACTTTATTCTCACATTTTTTTCTTGTTTTCAGAAATACTATAAATGAAGAAAGTCAAGACAGTGTCACGCACTCTGATGGTAAGCGGTAACTTTAAAAAAAAAAATCTGAGCTACATGTTTGAATTAGTTGCATGTCATGTCATCATTAATGGCATTGCCATCATTGATCTATATAGGATCCCTTGTTTTACTTATTCCCTAGAATTCTTACGATTCCTTACCTGCTTTCCTCACTATAACAAACATCCTAAAATACTTAAGAGTGTGTTTGTGCATGCTCTTCTCATATATCTGTTTGTGTGTATGTATATGTGCAATTTATATAAAAAGAATGCTACAGGATTTTCTTTTTGAGAACACTCAGCATAAGGATTTTCCCAGCCCCACCCTCATTACTGTGTACACATTTAGTCTGTTATCAATAAGTAGTAGGGGGACCCTTGCACAGTGGGGGCTTCCTCCCAGACCCTGGATGAGGCACAAACCACACCCAAACATCTGCTTTCACAGAGAGATCCTTTATTAAGTGGGGAAGAAAAGTTAAAGTGGCTGCTTTCTGACTTGGGCAGAAAAACAGCAGCAAATGACCTTGCAGGTGTCATTTTTAAGAGAAGAAGGGGAGGTCTGTGTTAGAAGAGGATAGGGTATGGCGGTAAAGGAGATGGGGGATGAGGAAGCAGAGGAAGGAGTCAGGGGAAAGGGGGGGTATTTGTACTGGAGGGACAAAGGACTGACTCTGGATAGAGAGAAGACAGATGTGGCACATAGGAAAATGGAGGTTTATACAGGTTAAGGGGGAAACCCTGAGTTACGATGAGGTGTTTAATTTTAATTGGACATGTTAATTAGGTGAACTAAAGCAGGCTTCTGATTGCTAGACTTTGGTAGCCCCAGGAGAAGGAAGTGAATGCAGGAATAGACTTTGGTGGCTAGCTTTAGAAATATAATCTAACAGTTTTTAACAAGCAGAGGATTCCCTGCCAGAGCCAGGCTTACCACAGTCAAGCTGGCCAGAGTCCCTTCAAGAACTACACAGTACACCGGAACTATAAGGACTGCAGGGCTCCTCTGTAAGCTCATCCCATGTGGACCTCAGAGAAGCCTTTTCTAAGAGAAATGGTGGTGGAATGACTGGTTATGAGCTACAGGGTATTTACTTTGTTGAGCAGGACTAGAATGCTATTCAGAATTGATGCCCTGTTTACACAATCAACAACAGGCCATGAATGTGGCAACATGCCCACATTTTACCATCAGCTAGTGTCATTAAGCTTTCTGTTCTTTTCCTAATTGCAGGGTATAACATTAGATCTCATTTTAATTGTTATACTTTTTATTTTTATTGAGCTTGTGCTGTGATATTGCTATACACTTACATAGCACATTTTGATCACACTCACCCTCCTATCCTTTCTTATCTCACGCTCACCCTTGTCCACACCACTTCCCCAGCATGACTTGCCCTTCCATTTCATGTTATTTTTGTTTTGTTTGTAACCCACTGAATTTAGCAAGTACCAGCTATGTGAGTACGAGCATTGCTTCATCACTGAAGACGATGCCTCTCCTCCCCCCCGGCTAATTCATATTGGTTTTCATTTCAGAATTCTCTTTTCCACTCTTGAGTTTGAGAGTCGACTTTAGTTATGTGATATTGTAATCTTCTCTCCTGTTAGATGTCTTCTTTCCCATGGGGATGTGTCTTCTCCTGGTTGACTTGCAGGTGTCCATTTATAACCCAGATATTAATCCATGTCAACCAAGAACTTCTTCCTTTCTCTCTATTGCCTATTGACTTAGCCAATGCTGTCCTTCCTCCAGAACAAATACATTTTATCAAATTCATTAATTTTTGCCTTGGACATTATTCTTTTTAACTTTTCAAAAAAGTATTAACTCCTAGGAAATAAAAGAGCTCCTTTTTTTTTTTTCTTTTTTTTTTTTTTCTTTTTTTTTCCCTATAAACTTCATCCCTTCTGTTTTGGTCTTTGAAAACTTAGTAGAAAACTAGAAAATTTACCTCACATATAGTGCCAGTGTTCTCCATTCCAAACTCAAAATAACCCATTCTCTTCTCATTATTTTATAGTGAACCCCTACAGTATATCAGCTATATATGAATACAAGTATATGTGTACATATAATATATGACCATGTATAAATGTTTCTTAGTCCCTGCCATGAAGAAATGCCATGACCATAAAAGCTTAGATAGGAGTTTATTCAGTTTATCACAGTGCATCATCAAAAGAAGTCAAGACAGGACTCAAGTAAGGCTGGAACCTGGAGGCAGGGGCTGATGCAGAGGCCCTGAGAGAATGTTTACCAGCTTGCTTATCACAACTTGCTCAGCTTGATTTCTTATAGAACCCACGACCATCAGTCCAGTCAGTGATGGTACTACCCACAATGGACTGGCCCTCCCCCACCAATCACCAATTAAGAAAATATCCTACAAGCTTGCCTACAGCCTGATCTTACGGAGGCATTTTTGTTGTTATTATTTGTTTTTTTCAAGACAGAGTTTCTCTGTGAAACAGTCTTGGCTGTCCTGGAACTCACTCTGTAAACCAGGCTGGCCTTGAACTCAGAGAGCCACTTGCTTCCGCCTCCTGAGTGCTGACATTAAAGGTGTGTGCCACCACCAGCCAGTGAAAGTGTTTCCTTAATTGAGGTTCCCTCCTCTCAAATGACTCTAGTCTGTATCAAGTTGACATAAACCAATCCAGCACAGTGCCTGAGTTCTATTTTCAATCCCCTTGTCCCATCTGTGTTTTACTATTGTGTTTAATATTGTCTTATTAATTATAATATTTGATAGTGTCTTGATATCTGCTAGATACACTAAACTCTAATAGTCTTTTTTAGTTTAATCACCTTGATTTGTTTGATACATGAAAGCAAATCCTTGAGAAAGAATGAGCCAAAAAGGTGGCTCATTCCTGTTGTACATTTCACACAAGTACATGCATCAAATGTATGATGAGTTATACAAAGCAATAAAAGATAGCATAACTGTCTTTGATTTTTGCATGATCTTTTGAAAACTGAAAGTTAACAAAATAATTTATAATTAAATTACACGTGTTAAAAATACCAATTACCCAAGACACATGTTTTATGCTTTAAAGCATAAGTTATGTATTCTTTGAACTGATTTTGTGAGTATTATTTTACCCAATGATTACATATTGAAGTACTTTATAATGACAGTGTATTTTCTTTTAATCCTGTAGGTCCTGGAATTCTAGAAGAGGTCAGATATTTTTATTTCTCTTTTCCTATTGCTAAAATTGGAACATTTTATTATGACTTACATTCTATTGTGATAAACAGACAAATAAAAAGTTTTACAAGTATCAATGGTATTTTTTCCATCTCTAACCTTTCTTAATTGAGATGCTTGAAACATATATGCCAGTCAGTATGCTGACTCAGGGTAGTATAGTACTGAACTTACCACTGGCTGCACAGCTAATGACTGAACAAGACAGAGAATGAAATCTCCTTTGCTTGTTCCTAAGTATCTCACAATTTCAAAAGGGGAGAATATGAGAAAGAGAGGTGAAAAAGAAGAAAGAAAGAGAGAAAATGAATGAATGGAAGGAAGAATGAAAGGAAGGAAGGCAGAAAGAAAGAAAGAAAGAAAGAAAGAAAGAAAGAAAGAGAAAGGAAGAGAAAGAGAGAGGGAGGAAGGGAGGGAGGAAGGAAGGAAGAAATTTCAAATAAGCCAGTATAGGGTCAAATTATATAAATTTACAACCCATTCTTTTAAAGAATAAGTTGTCAATGAAATACATGTATGACCTTTTGGAATAATCTCAGTTAATAATCAACTGTTTTTCTTGATAGGATCAAGAGAGTGAAGGAGAAACATATGAAGACATGTATGCACCGTATTTGTTACCATAATAATTTTCTTCTAAAATGAATGCTTTGTAAGAGGGAGTATGGGCGTGCAAAAGCACTGGGAAGAAAAGCCTTTATGCACACAAATTTTTGGCCTGTAATGACATCCCTTATTTCACTACAAAGGACTAAAATTGGTTTACTTCTCCAAGGATTCTACACAACTCTGGTGACAAACTGTCATGCGAGATGGCAAGCTACTTGAAAAAACAGTCAGGGACTATATTCAAGAATCTATATTTCTCCCTCTCAGTATCCTGAGGAAGTGAATTCACTGTGTATTATACCTTATTCACTCAGACACCCAGTTGCTGAGGGCTGTGGCTAGCACCATAATGCCCACGTTCTAGTATGTTGGATAGACAAGAAAAATGACTCCACAACCCTATAATAGAGTTCAAAATAGACTGAGAAATTTCTTGGAAACTGTGTGAAAATAGAAGTAATATTATTTAATCAAATGTTGAGCTCAGGTATCTTAATTTTCTCCACCTAATTATTCAACCACTTCTAACTAATCTCTCCATCAAAATTAATACAAGTGTTTGGGAGCACGTGCTCATGCATGCCCATGGAAGTGAGAGGGAGAAATGCCAACAGGCCATGAAGATGAGGGGAGGGGCTTTTTCTTTGTGGTGTGCATTGCAGGGGGAAGGAGCTGGGGCTTCCAGAAAAGGTATCTGTCATCATGGGCCTTCTTCTGTCTGTACAAACCATTTCACACTTGCAGAATTTTCACATCTTGAGCTTCTTGCCTCCATCTCTTCTTCAGATACCTTCTGTAGCAGGTAGACACCTCTCTGAAGAGTAGTTACTTACCTATGGACACCTGCACATTGGAACCCCAACTTAACACTTTCTATTCACAGAGAATCAACCAGAGAAAGAGACAAGAAACGGGAAAAGGAGGAAAAGAAGAGGTTAGAGCTGGAACGGAAGGAACAGAAAGAAAAAGAGAAGAAAGAACAAGAATTAAAGAAGAAATTTAAGGTAAAAGCTTGCTTGCTGAAGAGGAGTGGCATTATTTTGAACCTTTTTAATATAAAATTGCAAAAATTTATGAAGTTGGAGAGGTTTTTTTTTTAATCGTTTTTGAAACAACGCTTTTTTGTTTGATACACTACCTTAGCTCTGTCACCAAAAATGAAACAGGATTTAAAAAATCCAAATAAAATTTAACTCTAATTGGTGGGTACCCACGGATTTTATGTTGACTGAGGAAGTGAATACATCATCATTGTATGCCTTGCGTCTGGAATGTCACATAGTGGAGCAATGGGAAGAGTGTTGCTGGGTGAAGCACAATTCCTTTGAGATACTAGAGATGACGGTATCTGGATCTGAGCTATACCTTTAAGACTTGTACTTGCTGATTTCTAAGACCTGCTGTCTCTGGCCTGTCTTTAAATGTTTCAATTTCTGACCTTTATCTTCTCTTAGTTTTAGTCATTTTGTCACCTCTATTGCTACTACCACTGTGCTACAAGCACAGGTTGAACTGACTTAGCTATAACATATTTGATGACCTAACCCACCTGATATGTTCTGTTGCCTCAGAAGTATTTGGAGTGATGATCTGAATTACAAAACTAGTCTTTACTTTTAAAGGAATTCATGTTGTTTCATTTACATATTTATTTCTCTAGAGGATTTAATACAAGGAATTACAAAATATGACTCATGAATAACTTCCCGGTACATTTATTATGTTAAACAAAGTTCAACAGCATGATGCAAGGAAAACATCCAACTTGGAGTCATTTGGATAGATGGAGATTCCAATCCCAGCTGTGCATACAAGTTCTGTGTTCCTGGACTTTATTTCCTCCGAGATTCAGATTCTTAGTCTTTAGAGTAAAATTAAGTGTCATTTTTCTATAGTTTGTTATGGGATTAAGTGAAACATTATATAAACACTGTATCTACTATGGGTTTCCACAAATTATGGAGAAAAACACTTTTTTATGTACAAGTTATTATTGCAATTTGAAAACTAAAACATTTCACTTAGGCAGAATTTGTGACCACCAAGACCTATATTCTTCAAGTAAAAATGAATTTAATACATGAGTATATAGAGAGAGTACTTTTCATGAGAGATTGTTCATAGTTTTCAAAGATTTGAGATTAGTTTGGGAAAAGAAGCAATACATTGTTTTACACATTCATTCAAATAATATTGTTAATAACTAAAACAGAATGTAGAAGTCATATCAGAAGGTAGGAACTCAAGAGTTTGTCAAGTCTGGGACCTTACAAGCTATATACTACACCCAGCTGTATAGACACTGGGGTTTGTAAAATGTGAGACTGCATCAGAATCATAGCATATCATAATTCAACTTAGATTTTTCTTTTTTTTGCATATCAATGTTTATTGACTGCAAAAACAAATTCTACATTATCAAGAAATTCTGTTCAAACACTGACATGGTGATATGTATCTTACTGATATAGTAAGAAAATGGCAGCAAGTAACCAGTTCACAATTCTGAACCCAGCGCATTCGAGCCCAGTGCATCTGCTGAAAATCTGTAATTCATACATTGGTTACAGATCGTTCACATGCAGCAGAAGATCATAATTCAAACATTCAGGTTACAGACAGTGGCCAACTATAGCAAATCCAGCTCAGCCCAAAGCCTTTCTACTTGAGTCTACTCTTACTAATAAAACAGAATTGATGCCGTTGCTGGATATCAACCTAAGCTTAAAAAATAGTTTTGATGGTACATAATTAACATGTCACACAATTCAGGACAACACAGATTCAATAAATAGTTTCTTCCAAAAATATCACAATCCATATTTACTTATCAAAAGATGGAAGACACCCTATTGAAGATGCCAGTTTAGGAAAAGAAATTCAGATATGAAGACTAATGCCTTAACATATATTAACTTCCTATTAATAAGTCATCATGTTATCCATAATATTAGTTATGAAAACTTGGCCTAGTATTTGTTTACTATTTTTGAAGCTATTTATAAAATGCTATCTTATTTGTAGCAGGTAGAATTTACTACAGCTTTGTATTTAACAAGGGAAAGGCAGGCAGGCAGGAAGGAAAGGCGGGAGGGCTAGTGTACATTAGTACCTACATGGTGCCCTTTTATTAGATGGTTTTTCCAGGGTGCTTCTGTGCAGCAGATCCCTGCCACTCTCTCATGAACCACAAACACATGCTTTCCTGTTCTTTGTTGGCCTTGCTTCACCTCTGCGATTTTCCCCAACTCTTTGAATAAGAGCACTCACCATGAATGACAGTTGTGAGATTATTGTCATTCAAAATTATATTCCTTAATGGTTTTCTGTTATACTTTTGCCTCTCCTTGTAGCTAACAGGCCCCATTCAAGTCATCCATCATGCAAAAGCGTGCTGTGATGTCAAAGGGGGGAAGAATGAACTGAGCTTCAAGCAAGGGGAGGACATTGAAATAATCCGCATCACAGACAATCCAGAAGGAAAATGGCTGGGGAGAACTGCCAGGGGGTCATGTGAGTGCCTTTGCCAAGCTTCAAGGCTTCTTCAAGGGCTTGTCTTTTTCTCCTCCCTCTCTCCTCCCTTCCTCTCTCCTCCTCTCCTTCTATTGTTTATTATTTTTTACCTAGTTCTTTGAGATTTCATGTAACATATTTTTATCATAGTCACCTTCCCTCCCCAAACACTTCCCAGATTCAACCTCTCTTTCCTTTTCAACCAACTTTGTGTTAATTTTTTTCCTTTTTCTTTTTCCCACAAATACCAATTTATTCTCTCCAAATATTCTTGGATGTGCGTCCTTTCACTGGAGTGTGGTCTATACCATAGGCTATACCTTAGAGCAAACTGCCTTTTCCTTTTCCAACAACTAACAATGACCAGTCACTTCTTGGTTAAGGGGTGGAACTTCTTGCCCAACTCCCCTTTCATGCTGGGATTTGATCTGGCTAGGTCTTGAAAGGTTTTGTGAATACTGTACTGTCATAACTGCTGCCCTGCTGTGTCCAGAGGACAGTACCCTGGTACTCATTCACCACTTCTGCCTCTTATTCTCTTTCTGCCCCTCTTCTGCAATATCCCTGAGCCTTTAGAGGCAGGAGTGTCTCAAGTACCTTCCATGTAAGACGGGGCATTCTGTGGTCTCTTACTCTCTACATTTTTGCCTGTTGTGGATCTGTGCATTGATGAGTGTCTGCAAACAGAAGCTTCTCTGATGACAGTTGCAAGATGCCTTAATCTATGGGGGTAATACTACACCTATTTGTCAAAAATAATAGTAGTATGTTTTCCCCTAGAGTCTATGATCTGCCTAGCCATGTGTTCCTTCTAGACCTACATGCCCCATATTAGGAATTTGCTACTGAGTAATTAGAGAGAGAAAAAAAATCTAAAATGGAAAATGTAGTTCTTTTTAGTGGGGAGCAATGTAAAATTTTACAAATGTCATTCTATTTGCCATTTCTATTAGAAGAAATGTGTCATGTAAATCACTTTGGGATCTTCAAATTGATTCTTGATCCACTTAAAAGTACCACAGAGTAATTCTCTGATGGAGTGCATAAAACCTGTGGCTACACAGAAGGGTCTGCACTTCAAGATTGCAAGCAAAGACACCTTTTTAATGTTTAATGAAGTCTTTGGTTGTATGTGTGTGTGCGCATGCATGGAACCAAATCCAGAGTTTTGGCATGTGAGGCTCCATTCCCAGCCCTAAAGAGAAATATCCAAGAGCAGATGAACAATTAATACTTCAATTATAACTCTGACATGTTTAAGCTCCAATTATCTGGACCTCTTTTCTCTTTTGGTAGATGGTTACATTAAAACAACTGCTGTTGAGATTGACTATGATTCTCTGAAACGGAAACAGAACACTCTCAATGCTGTTCCATCAAGACTTGTTGAAGATGACCAAGAAGTTTATGATGATGTGGCTGAGCAGGATGCTCCTAACAGGTGTGTGGCACACAGACTGTAAACAGATCACCATCCCCTTGCCAGATAGCATGTATTTCAAGATTCCACAATTTTACCTTCCATGTCACCTAGTGCTCTCAATCACTAAACTAAATCACCCTAGTTTGTGTGGAAGACCAGGTGAAACTCCATTGTCTTTTATTCACTTGTTGGCTACACATATCGTGTTACTTGAAATATAATGGACTGTATAATTGTGATAGATGTGTTGTCTGCTACAAAGCACTTCTATAACATTTATTATGACTTAAAGTTAGAACATGCCTAAACTAGTATGATTTGGGAAACTGTGAAATAGGAAATGTGAAGTATAACTCCCTTTATTTCACCCTTAAAACTCTAAGACTAAATGCATTTCCTGTCATTGCTTGAAAATATAACAGGAAAAGGAATGGCTTCCACTCCAACTCCAGTATATTCCTTAAAAGCCAAACCTCAATCCTCTGTGATCCCTAGATATTGACTAAAGGTCCACTTTGCAGTATTGATTTACTTCACTACATTGGTGTGGAGTTTCCTCCTAGAAAAATAAGCACACTTTTGTGGAGCAGAGGAACAAAACCAAAACATTGTGTTTGGAGAAGGAAACAAAGATGACTATCTTTTCCCACATGCCTGTTTATTAGATTCTCATGACTAGACTGAAATACTCAAGACCTTTGACCTATAAAGAGGAAATGTTTAAGTAACTCATGTTCTATAGGTCCAAGTCTGAGATCAAGCCAAGGGCATACACAACATACAAATATAAATAATTTGAGCAAGTGATAGCTCTGCTCCTAGCACATGACATTCCTAAGGCATTGGGTGTGAGAATCTCCATGTGGAAACATATTCACCAGGGACAACAGCCATCCAGAATGCAATTAATTCTAAGGTTTCCCTCATGCATGGAAGCAGAAGAGAAAATACATATGAAGATGACAAGTAGAGAGGATGTGCCCACTTCACAAATCAATTTCTAGAGTATGATGTACCATGCCTTTCTACAAAGTTCCATTGACAACAGTATGCTTTTATTTCTAAGTTAACCAAAGATATGCATCAGACTAATCCCTCCTACTGATTTGTAAAAGGAGTGTTAAAATTGGGTACCAGTATATAGTTGCCCTATAAGCTGATAATATCAAACTTATTCCTGTTGCTGGCACTTTACCCAAAGGCCAAAATGGGGTTGGAGTGTAGCTAGGTTCAAAAGGGGCTAAATGCTTGAAGTACTGGATTCTTTCCTGCAAGATGGCAGAATTGAACAAATAGACAATGTCTAAATTTTTCCAGTGCCCACACTTGGCTCTCATACAACTTACACAGGAAGATACAGGGTGGAACACATAACTATAAAAGCTACAACAGAAAATAGTTCTAAGTATTACAGAATTAAGAAAAAACAAAGGCAGTCTGGGTTTAGAGAGGTAGGGGCCACACCTCATAAAAGTCCCATCAAAGTCACAACTTAAATATTTTTTTTTTCTTAAAACACAGTGTAATGATATTAGGTTAAGAGTTAGAAACTGTGGTTCTAAGATGCTCAAAAGAGTTGAATTGAATGCAATGATAATTGTCCTAATGACTCCTAAAATAACACAGAGTAGTTTTTAAAGTAATTATAAATATAATGTGTAATTACTGAAAATTGCTTCATGGGAAGTTTTTTAAAAGCAAGCAGCATAATTGTTGTGAACCATAGTACTATAACTTATTGGTTCTTGCTGGTTGTGTATTGGCTGTATTATGTTCCCTTGTCATGATGTGTCTACTACAATGAATGGTCTTCCTGCTCTTCATATATTTCATCCTAGTTTTAAATAGAATGTTAACTTTTTATAGACTTCTCAGTGTTTGAATTTTTCTTATTGAAAACTAAATAATTCATAAATTTATTATTTCTGTTTTGTTTTTAGCCACAGTCAGAGCGGAAGTGGAGGTAAGACACCCACTTTCTATGTTTGCAGTCTTGAAAATGTTTGAGTATGTTAATGACAAAACACCAGGTGGCTAACAGCAAGAGGGATGTTTTTACATTTCTATACATTAAGGATTTCAAATATAATTTTGTTGGGTTATAGCCATTGCACATGGTACTGATTTCTGTAGAACATTTTTGTGCAAGTATATAATGAATTTTATCATATTTCCCCTGACCTTTTCCTTTCCTCTCCTTCCTCTTCCCACCCCTTAGTCACCTTTGTTCCTCTAGACAGTTTTCTTCTGCTTTCTTGTCATATATACATACATGATTTTATGTATCTGTATAAAACCGAGGAATGAAAGACTTAATGGGATTTTAATGGGAGAAAATATCTGACTGGGAGACTACTACCCAGATTCTAGCCCTGGTCACCAAGTGACTGTGAGGCAGTCACATCTATCTCCTGGATTTGCAGAGGATCCTAGTGTGACTCCACTTCCAGTGTCCCTGGGATAGTCTTGCTTTCTGCAGACTGTCTAAACACAGTTAAGAATAAACACCTCCCAAGTGAGGTAACCCAGTCACAAAAAGACAACACGGTATGTACTTACTCATATATGTTTTTTATACATAGAGCAAAGGATTACCAGCATACAATCCAAACCGCCAGAAAAGTTAGGAAACAAGGAGGACCTTAAGAGAGACATACATGGTCCCCTGGAGATGGGAAAGGGGACAAGATCACCCAAGCAAATTGGGAGCATGGGGGAATGGAGAGGGAGTTATGGAGAAGAAGAGGGGAGAGGTGGGCATGATGGAGCAGGAAGATTGAGTCAGGGGAAGAACAGAGGAGAGCAAGAAAAAAGATACCATAATACCATTATAGGTTTGAAGAGAAATCTGGCACTAGGTAAATGTCCAGAGATCTACAAGGATGAGCCCAACTAACAATCTAAGCAATAGTGGAGAGGCTACCTTAAATGCCCTTTCCCGATAATGAAATTGACGACTACCTTATATGCCATCCTAGAGCCTTCATCCAGTAACTGATGGAAGCAGAAGCAGACACCCACAGCTAAAATCTAGCCGAACTCCTGGAATCCAGTTGCAGAGAGGGAGAAGTGATGAGCAAAGGGATAAAAACCGGACTGGAGAAACCCATAGAAACCACTGACCTGAACAAGGGGGAGCTCATGGACTCCAGTCTGAAACCAGCATAGGACAAACCCAGATTCCCTGAATGTGGTGTTAGTCAGGAGGACTGGGCAGTCTATGGGGCCTCTGGTAGTGGATCAGTATTATTCCCTAATACACAAATGGACTTTTGGAGCCCATTCCACATAGAGGGATACTCCCTCAGCTTAGACACATGGATGAGGGCCTGGGCCCTGCTCCAAATGATATGACAGACTTTGAAGATGCCCATGGAAGGCCTCACCCTCCCTGGGGAGTAGTAGGGGATGGGAAGAGTGTTGGTGGGGGAAACAGGGGAGGACGGGAGGATGTGGGAACTGGCATTGATGTAAAACAAGCTATATATATATATATATATATATATATATATATATATATATATATGTATGTATACATACATATATATAAAATCACACCCTTTCCTTTCAGAACTATCCCTATCTAGATGGCAAACTATATAGCTACCTTGTGATGATGCTGCCTAAAGACCCAGGCCTGGCAGCAAAATCAAGAACTCAAATTTTCACACTTGAAAGTTATATTTCAAGGTCATTCTCGTGCACATAGAAGATAGCCAACAAATACTTAAGTAGATATTTGTCATATAGCAAAGTTTCTAAGAGCAAAACATAGCAAATGAAACAAGAAAGAGTTTTAGTCTACTATATATGCATTAAATGTGACCTTTCCTTTTGTAGTTTCTTACGATTACTAGTAGAATCTACAGAGTCGCCTTCCGTTACATTTCATTTTCTTTATTGGTCTCTCTTTTTTTTTTTTTTTCTTTCATCATTCTCATTATAGAAGAAGGGCATTTGAGGAAGCCTCTCCACTATTGCTTAGATTCTTGGTTGGGGACATTCCTGTGGATTCCTGGGAAGTTCTCTAATGCCAGATTTCTCGTTAACCCCATAATGGTTCCCTCTATCAAGGTTTCTCTTTCCTTGCTCTTTTCTTCAATGTCTACTCACTCTTAACTGAATTTAAAAAATTTTTTTTTTTTTAATGAGCTGGGTGGTGGTGGTGCACGCCTTTAATCCCATACTCGGGAGGCAAAGGCAGATAGATTTCTGTGAGTTCGAGGCCAGCCTGGTCTACAAAGCTACACAGAGAAACCCTGTCTCAAAAAACAAAACAAAAAAAGAAATGATTTGCTTACCCTTTTTTTTATGTGCACTGGTGTTTTACTTGCATGTACATCTGTATGAAGGTGTCAGATCCCCTGGGAACTGGAGTTACAGACAGTTGTGAACTGCCATGTGGGTACTGGGAATTGAACCCAGGTCCTCTGCGAGAACAGCCATGCTCTTAACCACTGAGACATCTCTCCTTCTGACTTCTGTTTTTTCATGATAAATATCTAATTCTACTTCCTATCCTGCTTTACTTGCTCTGATATTAATTCTCACCATTTGTTTTACATAAAAAGCTAGAATGTCCATGATCACTCATTCCTTTCTTAAGGCTTTGATCCTAAAATGCTTCAAAATAATTGATAAACCAACTGAATTATTAACTGTCTATGTGATGCTGGGAAATTGTAAAGTTTTCTACCAAAATGGATAATGTGATGACTGCACCTAAATAGGGGAGAATTAGTGGCAAAACCAGAGTGACCTGTATTTGACCAAAGTGCAAAACTGATAGAAGGTCTCCTTCTTAATCCAAACGAAGGCATGTTCCCTCCACCACCAGACGATGACATATATGATGGGATAGAAGAAGAAGGCGCTGATGATGGGTAAGAATAATCATTGAACTTTTTTCTCTCTTGTAAAATACTACATGTATGGAAATTTAATTTTCATTTCCAGAGAAGCCAAAAAGTAGAAAATATTCTTCTTATTCAAAAAGTAGAATATATCGTTCGTATCCAGCCCTACAATCATGTGAAGGTTCAATTGATAGTATAGGTAAGTCAAGAAGGATATATATATCACACTGCAAATGACATGGTAGAGTGTAAAAATAAAATTTGCATTATACGGGGGGAAAATGAAATGAAAAGAGGACAAATTACAAGGGTTGTAGATGTTTTTTAAAAAACATTTTCCAATCATTTATCTATTAATCAATAATTTACTCTTACAACCATCTCTGTAGTTTATCAGATATGTGGCTGGAATATTTTTTTGCATACTAACATAATGATAGCTGGATAACAGGACTCATACCTGTAATTCTAGCATTGTAGAGGCTTAGACAGATGGATCACTTGAACCAGGAGTCCAAGGCCAGTCTGAGCTGCTTAATAAACTCCAGGCTAACCTGGGCTACAGAGTGAGATCCTATTTTAAGTTAATTGAGACCATTTGATATCTGTGGTAGTTTTAAAGCAGAACTGATATTGAATGGTGAATCCTTTGCTTAATAATAAATGCTTTTATTTTGTAATAATAATTTATAAAAATCTTTTGGGTCAATGAATTTTCTTTCTATTTTAAAACAGAATATTTAAGATCAAGCACTTGTTTTACTTTAATCATAACTACTACCAAGTAGACATTTTAAACTTCATTCTAAGTGACTTGACCTAACTTTATGTTTTAGGAACCTAAGCAAATCTTACCAAATAAGTAAAAAGTGAGCAGCATGGTGGAAGAAATATTCACTCACTAGAATTTGTTCTTAGCAGCACTATATTATTGGCTATGGTGACCTATTCCTTGGTCAGCATAGTGTAATTATTTAAACTCTGAATTTCCGCACGATGTCTTCATGGTCTGCTGATAATTACATTCTGATCAATGCTTGATGCTCCAAAGATCCATGCTGCAGGTTGAAGAGAAGACCAACACGTGGTCCTGGGGGATTTTGAAGATGTTAAAGGGAAAAGATGACAGAAAGAAAAGTATTCGAGAGAAATCTAAAGTCTCTGATTCAGACAATAATGAAGGTTCATCGTAAGAGTCAACTGACCACCTTCAGTGCACAATAACTACACTAATATTGATTTAATTGAATGCTACTAATATCCTATAACCAATAAGCAAACCCTGATGAACTGATACCACTTTACTGTCATTTTTCCATTAATAATCCTACAGTCATCTCATAGTGTGTGTCAATTATATCAGATGACCCCAGTTATTCCGAAATTACCATGTAACTCTAAGATACACTTTACTTTCCCTGCAAACTTGCATAAAGATATACACACACATATGCACACACTCACATACTCACGCACACACAGTCATTCATGAACACACACTACTTAGTAGGATTTCTCTCATCTGTACAAGCCCATAAAAAACTTTACTACACTTTACATTATTCTGACTACTTTTTAAACTCACTATTCTCTATTAAAAGTTAATTTGTTAAAACATAGAACATGATTTAGAATTTTTCTCTGAATGTAATATTGAAATTTTTATAAGTGTCTTAATTATATACCTATATAGACTTATTGTCAGTATTTCAAATTTATCGATATAACTAATGAATAAACTTTCTCTCCCCATCCAGCCTCGAAAGAGCCCCTTAGCATAAATTCCATGTATATAAATGTGAAGGATATTAATCATTTTCAGAAGAGCCTTTCTCTTTTGCATTTTCAATGTGTTCATTACATTTAACTGTCAGTTGTTTTCACACCAGCATTCCTAATTTGATCTTTTTTTATAGAGCACCAGAATAGCAGTCAATAAATTGTACATTTACAATTTTGAGTACACATAACAGGAAGTCTTCTGGTGAGCAACATTGCTCAAATATAATCTTTACGTGGGGGTAAAGGAAGAGACATTTTTTGCCTTGTTTTCACATTGCCAAATTCTGAATTGGGGTTATTTGAGCAAATGTCTTCATCTTGGACTTTTACCAGCCATTCCTGTGCTATACATGAATCTTTTAGGTGTGTGTGTGTGTGTGTGTGTGTGTGTGTGTGTGTGTGTGTGTGTGTAAGAGAGAGTGTGTGTGTATGCGTGTCTGTGTGTGCATGTGTGTATGTAGTTGTCATAGTTCAGAAAATAATAAAAACAAAGTCCTTTTCTGCTACAACTAAATGCCACCTAATCTTGGTTCCCTCCCACTCCTGTCCATAAGCTCCCACTATCCAGTTTAAGTGCACATTCCTTTCTTACTCACCATTTTCCAGTTTGGTGTAGATATGTACATACCAGAGAAATGTGGTCATATGCCAATGACTGCCGTTGATTTTGACTTTGTAATTTCAGTCCTCAATTCAATAAACAGTTTGGGCCAGACCTAAGGATAGCATGAGGCTCCAAAATACTGAGTCCATTTATCATACTTGGGTGTGATAATAAGCCCAAACTTTAGAGCAAATCTGAAATATTGCTCTAGTGACTGGGTGACATAAACAGACTGTCTTCACTTTTGACTATTTTTCAACAACAAAACTAGTTCAAAACTAAATAAATTCCAAATTGATGGCTAGAAATCAGTGGAAAATGGAGGATAAGAAAGGTATAATAATCAACAGATTAACCTATTTCACACCTCTAGAATATTGCTTTTCACACCTCTCTCGTGTAAAAGAATTAATTTCAAGGTTCATGTTACTCAGATTTTAACTATATTCTCATTTTTTTTTCAGTTTCCCTTCTCCTCCTAAAGAACTGGGTATGTAATAAAAAACTAATTGTGTATTTTACACATTATTTCTTACATATAAGGTAGTGGGGAGCATGGAATGTCACTAAGCATGGAAAGTGCCTGCTTTAAGACCTGACTGCAAACAATAAATATGTCACATTGTACAAGCAATTTCACCGTGTATGATTCCAACAACCCAAAAATAGAATAACAGAATCATATAAATAAAAATGGTTCATGTGTTAGATACTTTTTTGTTGTTGTTGGGATAAAAACAACATAATATTCCTCCCAAAAGCAGCATGGTCAGGCCTGTCATAGCAGTAGCCCACTCCTTGGAACCAACCTCCTTATTAGCTACTTTTTTATTGCTATAATACACCTTGATGAGGGCATGGTGGCAGGAGCAGGAAGCAGAGGGCTCACACCTTGAACCTCAAGCATCAACAGAGCATGAACTGGTAATGGTGCATTTTCAACTCTCAAAGCCACCTCTAGTGACAAACATCATCCAGGCCACACCTGAAAAGTCTGCCCAAACAGCACCAACAACTGGGGACCAATTATTCAAATGCCTGAGACCATAAGGTACTTCTCATTCAAACCAAGTATTACTCTGAAAGCCATCGTGGCATAGAGATAAGAGGAAAGTGATGGACACCAATGTCAGCTGGCCCCACCCCATTCAGCCAATGCTTAATATACACAACTCATGCATATAAATGTGTAAAAGTATGTGAAAGACACACAACCAGACACTTGCAAATATTCTTTCTTTTAACTCTTTGGGAAAAAAATGGGGTAACATTATCTTCTTTGTACAATTCCAATGGTCTCTTTGAAAACCCTCCTGAGACAGATCTTTTCAAGATTCTTTAAAAGTTTATCTGGATCAGATAAAATGTTGTCTCCAAAAATATTGAAGGGCTTTTAATGAGTTTACCTACTTAAATTCATAAATACTCTTGTAAGAGAGCTGGTGGTGGTGGCACACACCTTTAACCCCAGCACTTGGGAAGCAGAGACAGGCAACCTGGTCTAAGAACAAGTTCAAGGACAACCAAATCTATACAGTGAAACCTTGTCTCAAAATAGAGAGAGAGAGGGGTGGAGGGAGAGAGGATGAGAGAGAGAGGGAGGGAGGGATGGAGGGAGGAAGGGAAGAAAGGAGGGAGGGAGAGTAGGGAGAATGTCAATCTGGAGGTGTGGCTCAGTTGATAGCACTGTTTGATCCCCAGCACTGCATAAGCTAGGATTGGTGCCATTCTCATCCAGTCTACCATACCAGTCATGGCTAGTTTTCTACCTATTGTTTCCTGTCACTTGATATTTAGATATATTATTTGTAGAAATTAGATTTTCATTTGAAGGCAGTACAATCATACTATCACCATAGAGTATAAATTAATAAGGAAGAATCCATTAAAAGAAGATGGTGGATGATAGATGATACACAAAACTAGATAGATAGATGGATGGATGGATGGATAGATAGATAGATAGATAGATAGTAGAGATAGGAGACTGATACGAACGAACAGAGATATATCAATAGGACGAATGTCATAGCACTCCATGTCATGTAAGAATTTCTACTTCCTACTGCCAATAGACAAGAGAGTTGATTTCTTGGTTCACAGTTTTTAAGTCCCATCATTCTTTCATTCATTGATTACACTTGCAAAATTTGATAGTCACAGCACTATTCAAGGGTTGCCCCCCCCCCCCGCCAAATAATGATAGTAATAATCATATTCACTGGCTTCCATTGTTTCTTTGTTTACTTATTGATTGTTAAAAATTGAATATTCACACCTAGGAAGGTAAGAACCTTTCTTCCTTCCTTCCTTCCTTCCTTCCTTCCTTCCTTCCTTCCTTCCTTTGAGAAGCAGACAATGCCTTTAATAGACATATATACAGTCCCTGAGAAATCTGTTACTGTCTATGAAGCAGTCTTAAGTTTTTAATATCATCATTGAATGTTCATATCAAAACTTAAATTAGCAACATTTCAATATTTGATATTCTATCTTTTATTAGATGCGGGAGAAGAAGTTTACGATGATGTGGATGCCTCAGACTTCCCTGCTCCACCTGCAGAGATGAGGTCAGTGCAATGCTTTCATTCTGATGAAGTGTTGACAAAGAGACTGCTCAACAACACTGAACTGGAGTAAAACTCCAGCCTGGTGTACGTGTGCTGTGTGCAGTCATGTGGTCTCTGCCCTCCTTTGCCAAAGCTGTGCTCATTTCTGATCACAGCCCTCACCTCACAGCTGGGTTTGTTAGCAAGTTATCCTAACTCTCCCTCCTCTCCTCTTCCCCATCCTTTCTCCTGACTCTAAACACTGGTTCTGCCCCTAGTTCTCTGACTAATCTCTGCTGGTTGCTGGTGACTCATAGCTGTCTGTCTGTATTCACTCATTTACTGGGAATGTATACTCGAGATTCTGTTCACAAGTAATTTCAATGATTCATCTTCTCTCTTATTTTTACCCTTTTCTCCAACTATGTTCCCCTCGAACACACTTCCTTTCTATCTCACCCCTCATCCTTCTTATTCCCAGCCCCCCACCAATGGTTTTCTTTGTGGAAAAATAACAGAATTTGCTTCTTAGAAGGACTTTCGTGTATGTCCTTTTTTGTTCATAAACCCATTGGATGGATTCTCTAAAGTTTTATGCAAATTTATCTTGTAAATTAACAGTGAACAATAACTTCAGTTAATCTGAGACTTCATTTAACTTTAAGGTTAAAAGTATATGAAAAGCAGTTAAGATCAATTAGCCAAAAGGGAACACCCTTTTAAAATTCTTCTGAGTAAGAATATATTGTACTAAAATACCTGCTCATTTTCAATAGCTATGTGAGATGAACTGTGTACAAAACTCCAGGGCTGCATTCAAGAAAGAGATGTGTGAAACAAATAGTGTACTTGGTTAGTTAAAGGACAGAACTAGCATTAGTGACTCACAATAACATAGAGTATCCAGACTTTCTGTGTATTTCTCCATCTTTATGTGGATTATTATAATTTTTATTACAATATTCATTTTAAGAACTTTTTCTACCCTTTTTCTTTTCTTTCCCAATCCTACATATATTTTTAAACACACTGTAACCCATCTAGAGGTATTTTATTTCTTTTTTTTCTTTTTTAAATTACAAATGCTTATGAATTGAGAGAGTATGTGCCAGGAGAGTCTGAGAGAAACTGGAGGAGGAAGAAATGGATTATATGGTCAAAGTACATTATATACATGTACAAAATTCTCAAATAATAAATAAAATCAATTTGAAAATAAAAAAATAAACTTGATCAGAGATGACCTTTCTTTTTCTTACTCATTGCTTATTTTCAGAAGTTAAAACTATTCTATATTTTAAACACAATATTCTATTTTGGAATAAGTCATTTTCAGAAATAGCTTATGGGGCATTTTCAACATTCATTCATGCTCTGATCATCCCAGAGAGCTAATTTGGGCCAGCAATTTCACTAATGCCCAGATGATGAAAGGCAGGAGGTCCTGGGGAATGATGCAAGACCCAAAGCGGGTAATGGTCCTCATTCTATTCACAGTGAACAAGATAAATACTAAAAATAAAAATAGAAGCAAACATTTTAAAGAAGTCACAAGCAATTTTTTTCTAGATAATCAAAATGAAAGTTAGTATCATTGTCAAATTTTTACTATTGGCAATTATTCTAGTACGAAACAAACAAACAAAAACCTACCTCCCTTTTAGTCTATCCCTTCTATAGGGATTCACACTTCTTCCTAGTCTGTATTGAACTTTCATTTTGCAATGAGCAATTTAATGAAATGGCAAGGTAAAGATTGACTATTTACTACTAGTTATTATCTTTAAGATGTTCCCTAATTATATCAAAAATAGTAATTTTACATAAAGTTTTTCATTAACCAATACTTGCTGTATTTCATGCTGTATCCATTTGTTTTTCTATATTATTTCTCTGCTGGAAATCAAATCTAGGGTGTGGTATGTGAATGCTCTGCCACTGAACCCATCTCTTCCCTCATAGCTCCATTTTAATTAGATGTGAAAATATTATCCTCATCTAGTAGCTGATGGAAACAGAAGCAGATAAGATACGCATAGCTTAACACTGAGCCGAACTCCTGGAATCCAAATGCAGAGAGGGAGGAATGATACGAAAAGGGGTCAAAATCAGGCTACAGAAACCCACAGAAACAGCTGACCTGAACAAGGGAGAGCTCATGGACCCCCAGACTGAAAGCTGAGAAACCAGCATTTTACCAACTCAGACATCCTGAATGTGGGTCTGTTAGAAGGCCTGCAGTCTAAGGGATCTCTGAAGTGGAACCAGGATGTATCCCTGGTGCAGGAAAGGACTTTGGGAGCACATTCCCCATGGAGGGATTCCCTTAGCCTAGAGGCAGTGGGGAGGGCCTAGACCCTACTGCAAATGACTTGATAGATTTTGATGATCCCTCCTGGAAGGCATTACCCTCCCTGTGGAGTTGGGGGGGGGGGAGGAATGGGATGGGAGGGGGAAAGAGGGAACTGGGATCAATATGTTAAATAAGAAAAAAAGTAAATATATTAAAAAAGAAGAAGAAAGAATTAAGTCTCAGGATGGGCACTGATGGCATATACCTTTAATCCTGGCATTTGGGAGTTCAAGGCCAGCCTAGTCTACAGAGGGAGGTCCAAGACAGGGAAGGGAGGCTACACAGAGAAACCCTGTCTCGAAAAAACAAAACAACAAACAAGCAAAAGCAATGAATTAAGCCTCTCTTATGATCTATTCTTTTCTAATTCTAAGAGTGTTGGTTTATGTGTATTTTGTTACTCTAGTCAAGGAATTAATGTTGGAAAGGCAAAAACAGAAGAAAAAGATCCCAAGAAGCTCAAAAAGCAGGAGAAAGAAGAAAAGGATCTCAGGAAAAAATTTAAGGTATGTAATATTTAATACCATTCAGAGTTCAAAGTATTGATTGAAAGAAATTCCAAAAAATTTCAAAATGACAAAATACATTAAAGTATGGTTAACTATATTAGCAGTATCTGTCATAACTTTTCTTTGTTCCAAATATATTGTAAATATAAATTTATTCTACAATAGATTAAGCAAGCATGCTAATATCCTCCATGCTGTGATAACTGTTTAAATTTAGATGTTCTTTGACCTTGGTAAAGTGATAATCTATAAATATTTGTTGTGTGAAGTTGGTGAGGACATGAATTGTCTTAGTTCTTGTCTTGTGGCTATAATAAAATCTCCAGATAAAGAATCTTGAAGGACAAGGCACTTCTTTTGGCTCAGTTCTTCACTATAGTCTGCCATGGAGAAGTCACAGAGGCAGGAGCTTAATGGGACTGGTTTCATTGTATCTGCAGTCACAAGGCAGAAAGACACAAATGCATGCACACAAATGCTTATCTTGTTTCCTCCAAGTCAGTCCAGTCCAGGGTCCCCTGTCCAAGGAACAGTTCCGTTCATAATTAACACATTCCTTCCTCTATTAATTAACATAACAAGATATAACCCCCACAGAAATGACCAGAAAAAGTCTTAATAAAAATGTCAATAAATGAATTGCTGTAAGAATACAAAGCAGTAATTTTAATTTATTTTTTCAGTATGATGGTGAAATTCGAGTTCTCTATTCAACGAAAGTTGCTTCCTCCATAACTTCTAAAAAGTGGGGAGCTAGAGATCTGCAGATAAAGCCTGGAGAATCGCTTGAAGTTATTCAAAACACAGATGACACCAAAGTTCTCTGTAGGAATGAAGAAGGCAAATGTAAGTCCCCTGCTGAAGCCACACTGTGCATCTCAAAGCCAGTGGGGCCACAGTGGTCACTCATCTCTACTAACTCATTTTGTTCTGTGCTTTGTGGATTGTAGGACATGCTAAGAAACTGGAGATTCTGGTGTGCTGCGATCAATCAATTCTATTTTTAATGTTTGGGGGGGGTTGAGATTGTAATATAATTGTATCATTTCCCTCCCTGTCTTTACTGTCTCTAGCCTCTCCTTAATATCCCCATTACTCTTGTTCAAATTCATGACCTCTTTTTCTGTGTGTGTATGCGAGTGTGTGTGTGTGTGTGTGTGTGTGTGTGTGTGTGTGTGTGTGTGTGTAGTATAACCTGCATGTCTGTTCAGGGCTGACCATTTGGTATTGGATAACCAATTGGTGTGCTTTTCCTTGGGGAAGATTATTCCTCTCGAGCTCGGTGTTCCTTCATCGTCTTGTAAAAATGACAGTGAGTAGAGGTTGTGAGTGCTACTCAGTGGCAGAACACAGGCTTGAAATGTCAGTGGGAACATTGCTTAAACTTCGGGTACATTCCAATCAAGAATTTCATGTCCATTCTTTTTCTCACTAATGTATTTGTAATTTCTAAGCTCACTGATAACTGCTTCAGTTCTAGGTACTCTGAAAGTTTTATCTCAAACAGAATGACTGTGTGAATATCTCTTATACCCTCCTAGGGTGTTTTGTTCATCATATAGAGTTTTCTTTAGGTTGTACTGTGTTTTAGTTTGACTTCCTTATCTCAAAGTTGACTACAGTGTGGGACTAGAGAGATGGCTCAGCAGCTGAAAGTGCTTACTGCCCTTCTAGAGGACCCGTTTGGCTCCCAGTACCCACATCACACCCCAGCTCACAACCAACTGTAACTTCAGCTCCAGGGAATCCAACAACTTCTTCTGGCCTCCACAGGCACCTGAGCTCTTGGGCACACAACCCCAACACAGACACACACACACACACACACACACACACACACACACACACACAGAGAGAGAGAGAGAGAGAGAGAGAGAGAGAGAGAGAGAGAGAGAGAGAGAGAGAGTTAGAAGTCAATGTAAATTCCAAATGAGGTTAGAGAGCAGGAAAGTGTTATCAAATAAATGGTCAGCACCTGGATAATTGAGCCCTAATGCTTCTGTGACATTTACCAGTTACCATCCTACCAAGTAGGAAGCAAATTGGGTTTATATTCAGCAGATTAAACAGAAGGCTAAATGCTGCTCCTAAGAAGGTGTGAAGGTATTCAGGATGTTGAGCAAGCTAACAGAGTGTGCTGGAAGCCGGAGAAAATCTCTCCATAAATAGAACAAAATAGTTAAATATTGGCAGAAACTAGGACCAATGGGTGCTCAAATAGTTGGAGAGGGAGGGGCACTATGAATATTTGAGACTGGCTCTCAGATTAAGTATTACAGCAGAATGATTGAAGTGATGTGCCTATTTAATTTCACTTTTTGCCTTTTCAAACCTGCTTTTGATCATTCTTAATTTTCTTAATTGCTAATCCATTCTCCATACACTCACTAAGACTTGGAATGACTGCTGTAGAAATGTATCCCTTTCTCCTCTAGGTACCACAAGTGGCCTTGCAAATGGTATCCATCTTTCCCACATTCTCAAGAAGCCAATCCACTTCTATGTTAAACAGATATTTTCAAGAACACACACAGTCTTTAGGATAGCATATGACACATGCCCTTCCTGATCCAGCCTAATGGAGAGCAACTGCAGTTTGCTGTCTAGAATAGACATCCAAAAGTAAAGTACATGTTTGTCATTCCCTGAATAAATTATGCTGGTTCATCCCACTGTGCAATTTTATTTGACTTGGAATGCATAATTGTCCAGTAAAAACAACTCAGTGACCATCTTAAATTGAAAACATCCCTACCCTCTACTCCCAGCTACCCCAGCATGATGAATCTCACCCCAACTCCACTACTTGGACTTCTGAGTGATTTGTTTCACTATTTTGTGGTTCTTTTTAGGCTTTGGGCTTGTGCAAAACTTCATAGAAGTGTTCTTGATGTTGGATTGTCAGCACTAGTATAAAGTCTCACACCTTGAATGGGGCTTGGTAGATTCAAAGGAATGCTCTAGATTTCTACTCAAACAACCAGACAAAAGTCCGACATAAACACTCGCAAACACCTGAATAGTTTAGCTGGTTAGCAGACAGTTCTCTGGCTTGGCCTGGTGAGCACTGTTAGCTTATGGATCACTATGGACTCTAATTCTGTCCCTTCCTTAATTTTACATCTTCTCATGACCAGCAATGACACTTTGCAGTTCAGCTCCAGCATGACTAATGTTTTCCCCAGGCTCCGTTCTTCTTCAACTTATCACAGAAAAAGAATGTGACCTAAGGCTTATACCGAGCCATCAAGAGGTTAAAGTATAAAGAACAATCCCTTTGTCACTGTGTGGAGCAAAAGCCTCTGGTGCAGACATTACCCAATTCAGCCAGGTCTCACTCACTCTGCAAGTGCGAACTGTGTAGGCAGTGGCATCTTAAATATATAAATATATACACATATATTTATATATTTCTGGCACATTCTCAAATGTTTAAAACTGCTAACTAATATTTGCACATGTTCCACAATCTGATGCACATGAGCTAATAGTTTTCCCACCTCCTGTCACTGGAACAAAACTTTGTACAAAAAAAAAAAAAAAGAGCCATGAAAAAAGGAGTTGTTCGGGCTATATTGTTCTGTTTCCTTTAGGCATCAGAGAAAGAGATTTCAAATGGCTGGACATTATCACATAGCTACTTGATCATTTCTTTAAGGTTTTCTTTCTTTCCTTCTTTCTTTTTTAACAATACATGCTCATTGAAAATAAGATGTTATTCAGAAACTTAAAAAGGCAGTGAGTACCAGCTGTGTTAGCACACACCTAAAATCCCAGTACTTAGGAGGCTGACTGATGATGTGAAGCCAGGAGTTCAAGGACTGCCTGGGTGGTGTAGTGAAAATTCACCTCAAAAATAGTAAAAATTAAATAAATGAATGAAATGTTTAAAGTAATTCTAGTAGAAAGAGAAACAATACAAAGAGACAGAGAAGAACAGGAAATAGATTAGTTCTTGTGAAAATCAAATAATGAATTACATTCAGTATTATCCTCCCTTCATTGTGTTTCATTTCCCTTCCAGTTTGCCACTGGTTCACTTGCCTGAGCAAATCCACACAAATACAATTATATATTTTTTACTGCAGCAGACCAAATTCAGTAACTTCACTTTATTTTCTGCAAAACCAACAAATGAAGTAATAAATAATAGACAGTCATTTCAATTAAGGAAACATTGAAACTATAAAATCAGTTAATTTCTATTTTTCCAAGGCTTTTGTCTATTTCCTTGGAAATTCTGTATTTCTAATGTCTTCTCACAGATGAGTTGTTAGTCCTGAGACACATCTACACCATAGCAAGCAAACATTTTAGGAGGAAATTGACTGGCAGATATGGGGGATGGGTGTTACATTCCTGACTATTCTACCCCATGACATATTTCAAGACATTTGTTCTAACCACTGTGTTCTGCTCTGTTAGCAGGAGGCTTCCAAATAACAACTTTATGTGATATGTGAGAACCCTGAGAGTATCAGCTCTCATAATTTTGTAAGGCTAAACATAGCAGCCGTTCTGCACCATAACCATGATTTTGTTTTGTTTTGTGGGTTTTTTTCATACTCTATTAATATCCCATATTGGTAAGTGAATATGAGCCATGTGAACAACTAGAACATTTTCTTCCTGCATAAAAAAGAATTTCTAGGAACTATACTGCCAAGATTACATAGATTACATAACAATTCATGGTAAGTCACTTGTCTTGACACTATCATGGACCATCCTTGAGTAGAATAGACTTTTAACACTTGAAAGTGCTAGACAGCAAAGTCTGTGCTACATTAAAAGTCAGTAATCCTGTAAAAATGTTATATAAGTGATTTTACAGTTAGTGAGTGAGTTCTAAATTTTCACATTATCATGGAACTAAGATAGAGTGGGGACAGCCTCAACCCACATGTGACCATTTACATTTTCTTATTTAGTCATTTATATCCCCGCCCCTTCCTTCACATACGCACAGAGACAGGGAGAGAGAAGAACAGAACTGAACAATAGTATCTGCAAAGGAATCAACCACAGAAGAGAAAGACATTATTTAGAACTCGTGAGCAAGGAAGATATGGGAATATTCTAAAAGTGTGAGAGTGTAAGAGAGTATAGCTTTTATAATTAACGCATAAAGTTGAGATAACTGAGCTGTGTATTATGAAGTATTAACTTTGACCATGTAAAGGACTGTTAATAGTGGTTTAACCAGGTTTACTGTTTATCATATTTGAGTTTTAAATTAAAAGTAATTTAGTTGAAAAGTAAATGACCTAAAAGCATCAGCAAATAATAATCTTCATTTTCAAAACGGTGGTTAAGTAAATGTTAATTTTCCTTTCACAAACATTATTTCTCATAGTTGTCCAGGGGGGTTTTATTGGAAACATTTAATGTTATTAAATATTAATATTTAATAGTCTTTATCAACGGCTTATAATCTTGCATGTATACTGCTAAGGCAACCTGAGTTTAGTTCCTTTGACTCACAGAGCTGGAAGAGAGAACAGATTTCTTCCAGGTTTCTTCTGACCTCAAAATGATAATATTAAACCAAATAAACCCAATTCAGGAAGACAAATGCCACATTTTTCTCACACCTATGGAACCTATACGTAAATGTGTATGTGGGAAGGGGGTCTAGGGAGAAGAGCATGAGAGCAGAAAAGGGGACCTTAGAGGAAGGGAAGGGATAATGGAATTCATGTGATATGAAAAAGTAATGGAAAATATTTGGAAGGAGGGAAGAAATGACTAAGAGAAGGGCAGGAGACACGGGGTGGGCAGCCAGAGAAGGACTTATGTATGAAAATAGCAGAGTGAAGTTGCCTTTTATGCTGTCTTTAGAAAATTAATAAAAAGAGCCAGGCATTGGTGCCACATGACTTTAATCCCAGCACTTGGGAGGCAGAGGCAAGAGAATATCTGTGAGTTCGAGGCCAGCCTGGTCTACAGAGCTAGTTCCAGGAAAGGCTCCAAAGCAATACAGAGAAACCCTGTCTCGAAAATCCCCAAAAAATTAATAAAAAGGAAAAATTTAGCAGGAAAGGGATTGGTGAGAGATGCTAAGAGGAAGGGGTATAAGCATGATCAAATTACTCTATAAATACATTCTACATAGATAAAATTATTCAATCTATTATCTTTATAAAGATTTTTTAAAAAACTTTATTACTGTGTCTTTGTAGGGTGTGTCATGTGTCATGTGTGCCTTGCAGAGGTCAGAATAGGGCATAAGAGCCCCTAGCACTGGAGTTACACACAGTTATGAGTTACTTGGTATGATTCTGGGCATCAAACTGGATGCTGTGGGTAAGAATGGGGCTCTTAACCATTAAGCCATCTCTCCAGTCTCCCAGTATATTATCTTATAATACCTATTCACTTGTATGTCAACTTGTGAAACTAAACATTACATATTTTCAAAGCTGTATCTGGAATTAAAATGCATTTCCTTTTTTCCTTTATAGATGGTTATGTCCTTCGGAGTTACCTGGTGGACAAGTAAGGCCATTTTCTTTTATTGATTATTTGTTAAAAAGAATCCTATGGTTTCCTTAAGGAAAAAGTATTAACATCATTTCTAGAATGCGATGGATTGGACTATGATAATAAATTGAAAACAATGTACTATATTTATATAAATAACAAAGCTCATCTGAATTCGCAAGGCAGCCTGGCTCACTCATGGTGAATAGTCTCATATACTCATTATTGAGCTGTCTGCCCAACAAACACTGAAGACACACAGGGCAAAGCCACTGCCCTTTACACTAATTGTTTGCATTTTGCTCATTAATTATTATGGTATTAGAACTGTACTAGTTAGAGCCAAATGCTGTGTGCTGTAGGTTCTAATATCACCAGTTAATAATTGCTCATGGTTTAGCCCCCAACTGAAGATTTTGCTATACTCACACCAAGCACAGTGCTCTATTATGTTGCCTTATTGAAACTATGCCACTCAAAAGATAATAATCAGTGACTCTTGTACTCTTATGAATAAGATCTTTTCACAGTCTGTCACAGCCTGGTACTTTAAAGCCCTTGGACTCCTCTAAAACACTTTAAGATTCTACACCAAGAAACCCAGATCAGAAAATCAACCCCACTATCAGATTAAGCAATAGAAATAGTCGTAAAACTAACATAATGAAAGAATCAAGGATTCACAAATCATTTACCGCAAGCAACAGGACACACGTGTGATTAGGGCACACCAATAGAGGGCAGACAGGAAAAAGACTCTAACACCTTTGTTTTCTTCAGCATATTATTACAGTGGTGGGCATGGCACTTCTGATAGTCTTTGTCCCAAGAAAGATGCAAATTTTATGGAAAGAATGTGTTGCAGGAGACTGAAGGATGGTTAAAAGAAAATGGAAAAAGAGCCCCAAGTGTCTATTGGCTCACTATCTATTAAAATGCATACATCAATAGACATTGAAGGGATAAACAGCAGGAAAATCTGTCCTCTTTGCATTCACATCAGATTTCCTTTAGCCAAAGGTTCCCTCCATCTCCGAGAAAGGATCCAAACAGAAGATATAGGCAGCATCTGCCACAGTTGGCAGCAACAAGGAACCTGCTGCCAGAGTTAGGGAAGGAACCAAGAGCTTGTCTACCCTAAGTGACCCAGCTACCTCACAGCTCTGAAGCTTGGAACTGTTTCCTGCATCTGCAGATTGTTTATACTCATAATATATTATTATATCATTTATAAATTACTCATTAGACTATGTACTTTCACTATCAAAGCTTACCTCGAACTCATATTTGTGTCTCCCAGAGCATCAGAGCGACTCAGTGTTTGTTAACAGAATACTGAGTAAAGCTTCAGGGCTAAGCAAAACCTGAAAATGTGAAAAAGTAGCCAAAATCACTGCAGTAGACGTTATCCTCACAATAAGTAATATAAAAAATTCTATGACTGCATATAAACTAGAAACACAAGAAAACAGTATAGCTATTACCCATGCCAAATATATTTCATTCATTTAAAATTTTAAACATTTTAAACAACTAAAGGTATGAGTCTAGTACTAATAACTGTTAAAATTCATTGCACTTTAGGATTGAGACACCTGAAGGAGGGTTTTGCCTTGGCAATTTAGTTTGTTTAGCTCTGTACCTAATCCTTAGGGAGTTCAGACAGTCTCTGCCCATGGCAATGCTCAAAGTAGGATATGATCTGTGCCCTTGAGGCATGTGTTTATTATTCTGCTTATAGAATGAACTAGGAGTTGGTAGAGCCAGGGAAAGAAGATGCAGAGATGAATGTAAAATCTTTGTCCACTCACACATACACATGCACAGCCTCACTTCTCACCTCTAAATGTTTCTGATATGTAGCAATCATATTGTTGCTAGCTTCTATATATTAATGTTGGGAAGATACTTTCTATAAAATAAAAATGTATTTTTTTGTGTTTCTAGTGATGGAGAAATCTATGATGACATTGCTGATGGTAAGTCTCATGCAGCTCCCACCACAGTAACAGAGAAAACAGCTTGCAGGCTTCTTTACAGCCACCAGATACTATCAGAATTTGAGTTTCTTTAAAATGTGAGGGGAAAGTATTGATCTGGTGTCATAGGGAGAGGGAAGGGTCATCTTCACAGAAGGCAAGGAAATTCAGTGAAAAGAAGAGTGTGCTTATTCTCCAGAATGAGGAACGTAAGATAGCCATGGTGGTTCAGGCCTGCAATTCCAGCACTTGGGTGGTAGGCAGGAAGATCAGAAGTTAAAGGCCAGAGTTATGTATACAATGCAAGTCGGGGGCAAGCTTAGGTCATATGAGACCCTGTGTCAAAAAAACAAAAAACAAAAAACAAACAAACAAAAAAAGAAAACAGGACAGGGAAGAGATGGAAGACATAGGAAGGAATGAAGGGAAGGGAGAACTATTTGGTAAATGTTGTATTGTAACATGAGTTAAGGGTCGTTGTTTTTTTTTCTAAATCAGAGAAATGCATTCTTAGTTAATAAATAAGAACTTGTTTTAAAATTAACAATATGCATGCCACAGCAACCATAATGCCCAAGAAGTTAACAATAGGTTATTTTTTGCAGCCTATAAAATATGAAACAAATCCTAAATGAACAAATGTCAAGCTGGCAAATGTTAAAATGTGAGACAAACAAATCTTTGATCAACAAATGGGTACATATTTCATAACTAATAGTACTAGTAAAATCATGAGGTATTTTTTATATGGTGATTTAAAACACTAATCTCAACAAAATGTGTACAGTTGTCAGCATGTTGCTCTTTGGCCTCTGTGTGTGTTTATGGATGTGTGAGTGTATGTGTTTGTGGGTGTGTGTATGTGAGAATGTGAGTATGTGAGAGTGTGTGTGTGGGTGTGTGTTTGTTTCGTTGGAGACAAGGTCTCACTGCGTAGTTTCTGCTGGCCTGTAACTTGCTACTTAGCCCAGGATGGCCTTTAACTCACAGAGATCCGCCTACCTCTGCTTCTTGACTGCTGGGTTAAAGGTGTTTTTTATACCAGTTCTGGCATCAAACCTATTTCCCTAGCTCGCAAACAAATGCTTTGCCGATAGAGTCATCTCCCAGCCCTGACCCTTTAGTCTTTAGCTTAAGATACTTGTCGATGCTTAACTAATCTCATTTCCAAAAAGTGATGTTGTTAGAATTCAGGCATCTGTACTGGCCTGTCCTTGGGGTTCTGACAGGATACACCCTCAGCTGCAGCCACTAAGAGCACCACCTGTGCATATTCACTATGTTCCGTTTTTAAAAGGCCCTGCACCTCTCTCTCTCTCTCTCTCTCTCTCTCTCTCTCTCTCTCTTCCCCCTCTGCCACTCTCTCCCTCTCCTTCTCTGCCTGTCTCTCTGCCTCTTTCTCGCCCTTGCTTCCTCCCATGCCACCTCTCTGTTGTCTTCTGCCACTCCTGTCCAGAGACCAGGCTCCCCTTTCCCCTCCTCCTTCCCACATCCACTTTCCCCAATAAAAATCCCTTCCACCCAAGCTCTGTCACATGGCATCTTTCTCTTGTGCACCTCTTTTAAAATTGCAACAGATGTGATGTCAGGATAACTAATTTTTGTCTCATTTGATGAAGATTCCAGGAATGCTGTTGAAATTGGGCTATCATGAAGATGTCTTAGTTTTTATTACTGTGATGAAACACCATGAGCAAAAGCAAGTTGGGAAGGAAAGGGTTTATTAGGCTTACACTTCCACATCATTGTCCATGATTAAAGGAAGTCAGAACAGGAACTCAAACAGGATAGGAACATGGAGGAGTGCTGGTTACTGACTTGTTCCCCATGGCTTGCTCAGCCTGCTTTCTTATAGAATGCAGGACCACCATCCCAGGGATGACACCACCCACAATGGGCTGGGCCTCCCCCAGCAATCACTAATTAAGAAAATGTTCTACAATCACATAGAGGAGGTATATTAACGGATGCTCCCTCCTCTTTGATGACTCTAGCTTACGTCAAGTTGACGCAAAACTAGCCACTATAGAAGGTTAAATATATCAAATTTCATTTAACTAGTTTTGTTTGTCTTCTTAATATAAAATAAGTTTTACTTAAAAAATAACCTTAATTCTGAAGATATTGAATTACCCAGATCTCTAACTTGAAACACTTAGGATGTGTTGTATATAATCTGTATTTAAAATGTTGAGGCCAGATGTGATGGTCCAGAGCCAGTGATTGGAATATGGAAGCAGGAGGCTCAGGTGTTGAAAATCCTGTTCAATGATATATTGAGTTCAAGAGCAGCCTGGGCTTCATGAAGACGTGTTTCCAAAACCTTAATAGAGAGTTAGGAGAATGGTTTAGAAGGTGAAGCTTATATTGCAATCATGAGGACCTGAGTCTTCTGGCTAGCACACACATGAAAATGACAGGCACAGTGCCAAGTTCTTATAATCCTATTCCTGGTGAGGCAGAGACAGGAAGATCCTTGGGTAAGATTGGAACTAATGAGAGACTCCATCTCAGAGAAAGTATGTGGTTCCTGAGGATGTTACTAGAGGTTGTCCTCCAACACATGTATATATGAACCTGCATACACATGAACATGTAAAACTTAATGCGTTAATTAAAGTTGTATTTTCTTTTCTTTCAGGTTGCATCTACGACAATGACTAGCACTCAGGCTAATGACTAGCACTCAAGCTGTCCATTCTGCTGTTTCTGTTAGTGGACAACATGAATTTTAATTGGGATGATCTTGGGTATCATAGAAAAATATGAATGTACAAAATGAAATTTCAATCTCTTTATAAAATTTTCTAATTTTAAACTGGGAAAATGAACTCTGTTTAGTACATCAAAAGATTGGCAGTGAGATACAAGAATGTATCCCCTTTTTTTCTTTCATTCTCTTTTCTTTTGAGCAGGGGGTTCTTACTTTGCAGTTTGGGCCATCTTCCTGCCTCAGCCTCCCAATTGCTGTGAAACAGACATGAGCCGCCACAACTGGTTTAAGGATCCCATTTTATTTCAGTTATGCTTATGAAGGCACTTTGTTTTTAGACTACCATTAGGGAATCTTCCCTACCATATCTCCTTTTAAAGAAATAAATAAAATCAAAGACGTCCTAGAGGAAGAAGGAAGAAGAATATAAAGAATGAATTTTTATTTTTAATTCCACAAGAAGACAACTTACTGCTCGTGCTGTGCCTTGCATTACCTGTTCAAGTTGCCTACCCAGACAAAGCAGAGCTAGCTCCTCTAGTTTCTGAAAGACAGCACAGCAGTTTAACATTTGTATTGAATTTTCTCTCTCTGTGCACTGTGAAATCATATGTTAATGATTCAATAAGCATGCTTTATATTCTGTATGCACATCTATGATTAACCTGTTCAAGAGTCTAAAAAAGGTCTTATTTTGTGGATCCATACACACATGGTTGAACACTGTACTCTGTTTAGATGTCATTGTTAACTAGAGAAATGGAGGGGGACGCATGGCAATTGTGAACCCTGGAAAAAAGAACCCTGAAACTTACTCCCATCTTACAATAACTCCTTACTGTGAAGTCTTTTTGGAAGGTTTTTGTGTTTTGCTGTCAATTGCCTCTGCAGAACCTAGTGATGTTTATAATCACTTTACTAGAAAGTTGTTCAGTTGAAGGAACACAAGGCAATAAATCCCAGTGGTTGGCCTGGGATGCTCCCCCATTGAGACATACTCCTCTCCACCTCCTACAAACTGCAAAGCGCTGGCTTTTGAATGCTAAGAACACTAAGCACCATGAGCCAAAATACAACACCTTGACAGCCAAAAAGATAACAGATTGGAAAATTTTTTTGAAATTAGTAAATGCTTCTGCTGGTCCTATTATTGACCATGATGCAACCTTGCCAATATTCATTACCCCCCCCCTTATAGGACAGGATTCAATTAAGTTTATATCAGCATTTACCACTACCCACTATTTAAAGCTTTTATGGTTCCCCCATCTCAGATGCACACTTCAGAAGGTTTTCTTTTCTATTTTAAATCATTGATTAAATAATGATTAATTCATTATTATGCAAATTGCAAAGATCCATTGGAGTTTCTGAAGAGTGACTCCCACTGAATTTTTTAAAAGTCAAAAATTGGATGGGATAGAGAAATGACCCAGTTGGTAAAATGCTTACATGGCAAGCATAAAGATTGAATTCAATCAACAAACCCCAGATGACAAGCATGTGTGGTGACCAGTACTTGCAATCCCAGTGCCAGGGAGGCAGAGGTAGGAGGATCCCTGGGGCTCAGAATAAGTCTCTCTATCCTAATTGTTGAGTTCCACACCAAAGGAAGACACTTTTCTGAGGAGATGGACAGCAACTGAGGAACAATAGCCAAGGTTGTCCTCTGGACTCCACGTGTATATGCCCTCACACACATAGGAACATGTGCACGCAGACAGAAAGACCTATAAGGTAGCTCAAAGCCTTCAAAGGGTTAGAATTGGGGCTTCTTTTAACTGTTTTGAAATATTAAAAATGTCAGCAGTGTCTATGGCTCAGTTTAGAGAATACAGGACTCTGAGTCTCCAGGGTTGGACATTACCATCTCAGATAACCTTTGATTAGAAGCACTTTGGTGGCATTACTATCCTTGAACTTCTTTTGTCACTAGATACAAACTGCATGGCTCAAAAGTGGTTGTATGTTAACTTTGAAATCAACTATAGATTATATGTGGACTACATTCCAGTAATTTTCCATGATTAAGAACAACATAAATTCAATGCAAATGTTATACTTTTTAAAAATCCCAACTTGGATCAAGAGACTATTTCAGCTTTGATTTATATTCAAAGAAATGGACAGATACCTATGAGAGATTTATGTAATAATTATTTAATATATATTTGAAGTGTTAATTTTAATATGCTAAATGTGATTTTGTTGTAGATTGTTTGTGGAATTTTGTCATGTGGGAAGAACTGCCAATAAAGTCCCTTAGCAGCAAGTGGCCCTGCCTTCCACTTCATATGCACATCAAGGCCACTGGCTTCCTCTCCCTAACGTGATTGTCTACAGAAGAGTCCTAGCTGCACCACCCTCCCCACTGCCTCTCGATACATTGCTTCTGATTTGTCTTAGAAACAGATAACTAAGTAGGATTGTCTCCAACTCCCTGCAACCTAAATTTAACCCGTGTTCAAAATGCTCAGAGGGTAAGATATCACAACCTGAAGCAGAGCCATAACCAAGGGTCCCATTTCCCCCTAACTTCTCTCTGAGTTTCTTCCTACATAATCTATTCATGCTCTTTATTTCCATTCTACCTCTTCTCTTTCTCATCTCCTCCCCCTCCTTTTTTCTCTCTCCCTCTTTCTCTGCCATATCTCTCTTCTCTCCCTCCCTTCTTTCCGCATTCCTTCCTATCTTTCAGTTCTGCTGTGAGTAGCTTTCTCTGCATATTTAAAATATACTAAAATATTTCCTAGCAGTAAGAAATCCTGAGATTTTTTTTTTTAAAAAACTTGAACCTAAATACTTTACTTGCAACCCATTTCAACATTCCCTTTCTCATTCCATTATCTTAAAATGGAGAAGTGTATGCACCAGCTGTTACAACATGCCTCAAATTCCTCCAGTTGTCTGGAATTTGACGACCTTGAGGCTCCACTACTGTGCTTCAGATAGCATCATCAGTTTTGTGTGGAGACCAGGATCCCTACAGGGTGTCCTAACCAGCGATTGAAGATAACAGGAGCAAAAGACAGCATACAGACTCTTCACAGAGCAAACCCAGTTGAGGCCTCCCTAGAAGCCTTTCCAACCTCTCCTCAGAGTTCTAAACATCTTACCTCCTGCCTTCACTGGGGCAGGTATGCATTGCTTGCTGTCTGTCACCAGGCTCTTCCCCCTCTCCTGGATGGCTCTCTTGCAGACACCTGCTCTTTCCTGTCCACCAAAAGGAAACTCCTGCATTTTCAGCCTATCTTGGTGTCAGCTTTCCAGGGAAGCCAGACTAAGCACAGTACAGCTTGAAAGAGTATTAAGTCCTGTATCTGTCTGGGCAGTGGTGGCACACACCTTTAATCCCAGCACTCAGGAGTCAGATGAAGGCAGATCTCTGTGAGTTCGAGGCCAGCCTGATCTACAGAGTGAGTTCCAGGGCAGCCAGGGCTACACAGAGAAACCTTGTCTTGAAAAAACAACTCCATCCCACCCCCCCCCAAAAAAACAAAGCAAAAAATAAAAACAGTAACAACAAAACCTGTATCTGAACCCTGGGATAAACTGAATCAGAATTTGGAGGAGTAATTTTGGAAAGCATCTTTAAATAACACTAAATATGAGTTTGATGCTACATTTGAGCATTCCACACCCTGTTCATCCTTTCTCATGTTCTCAAGATCCACTCCTTCTCCAGATGGCTCCAACATGGCTTCTGCTACCATCACTTTAAAGCTGTTTCTATGTGATGTCCCCAAAGACCCTTATAGTAGTTCATCTTCATTTGACGGAGTTTAGAACTGCCTAGGATATGAGACACACCTCTGGATATTTCTATAAGGGAGTTTCAAGAAAAGTTTAATCGAGGAGGAAAACACATCCTGAATGTGTACAATACTCTCCCTGAGACCTGACTGAATAAAACGGAGGAAGCCAGCAAATCATTCGTCTCCTGCTTCCTGACTACAGACACAGAGACTAGACACTTCACCCTCCTGCTGCCATGCCTTTGCCACACGATGGATGCTGTCTTAGTGTGTTCTGTTGCTGTGAAGAGACACCATGACCACAGCAATTCTTATAAAGGAAAACATTTAGTTGGGGCTGGCCTACAAGTGCAGAGATTTAGTCATGGTGGGAAGTATGAGAACATACAGGCAGACATTGTGCTGGAAAGGTAACTGAGAGTTCTACATCTGGGTGGGCAGACAGCAGAGAAAAAGCCCACCCTCATTGACACACTTCCTCCAACAAGGCCACATCTCCTATTAGTGCCATTCCCTATGAGCCTGGGGGGGAAGAGGGCATTTTTATTCAAGCCACCACATTCAACACCCTGGGCCCATAGGCTTGTGGCCATATCATAATGCAAAAAATGCATTCAGTCCAATTTCAAAGTCCCTATGGTCTATAAGAGTCTCAACAATATTGAAAAGTCCAGTCTTCAAAGTCTGTTATGAGACTCATGCAATTTCTTAACTATAAACTCTTGTAAAATCAAAATCAGAAAGCAGATAACATACATCCAACATATCATGGCACAGAATACACATTACCATTCCAAAAAGATGGAAATGGAGTGCAATGAAGAAATACTAGCCAAACAAGACTGAAAAACATCTGGACAGCTCCAAACTCTACTCTGCAGCTCTATGTCTGATGTCAAGGTACTCTTCAGATCCTCAACTCCTTTCAGCTTTGCTGACTACAGCACACCTTTTTCTCGGGCTGGTGCCACCCCTGTTAGCAGATTTCCTTGGCAGGTATCCCATAACTACGGCATCTCCAGCATTTTAGGGTCTCCAATCCAGGCTTAACTTTCACAGCTTCATGTAATGGCTTCTCTGGACCTCCATGAAGGGACACCCCTGACACACACCTGGCCTCAGCAGCTTCCCTTATATGTAGAGGAAAATTCTACCACCCCTTTCTTCTGTCTTTGACTCTAAAGTCAGAAACATGTGACCAAAATGTCCAAGTTTTGCTGCTTGCTGGGGCTGGAACATGTTCCCCTTGTTCAAATGCATTTCCACCAACTCTCTGTGTTGATGGTTTCCTTCACTGACTAAGCTTGGCTGTCCTAGAACTTGCTTTGTAGACCAGGCTAGCTTCAGACTCGGAGATCCACCTGTCTTTGCTGCCTGAGAACTGGGATTAAAGGTGTGCGACACCACACTGAGCTCTAAGCTTTACTTTAATTCCTTTTCACCAGCTGGAAACTTAGCTGGGTGGGGTCTTGCCTTGAGGTTACCAGTATGCTTATTCCATGTAGCACCAGGCTTTTCTTTAATCTGTTTATCTTCTTGAACGCAGGATTTAGCTCCATTATACTTCCTTGTTTCCCTTTCTCCTCCACTGTACATTTTGTATTTTTCCTTACTCAGCTTGCTTCTTTTCATTATTGATCTGCATAAAACTGGCTGCTAATAACCACACAATACTAAAGCTGTTTTGAAATCTCCTCTGCCAATGCTGTTAATCCTAAAACTCTTCAGTTTAGCTTCAGGCAGAATTTTTGGATAAGGGCAGAAAACTGCCACACTCTTCAACAAAGTATCACAAGGATGATATCTAGGCCTCTTACTAATAGTCTTTTCCTCTGAAACCTCTTGAGTCTCGCCATTGTAATCTATGTTTCTCTCAATACCACTGTGTTCCCTGCTGCTATTAGTGTGGCCCATTAAACCCCACTTAAAGCATTCAACTGCCTTCTTAATCCAAAGTCCCAAATTCCACATTCTGCCAAGAACCATGGTCAGGCCTATCAAAGCAATACCCCATTTATGGTACCAACTTCTGTATTAGTTAATGTTCTATTGCTGTGAAGAGACACCATGGCAATGGTAACTTTTATAAAGGAAAGCTTTTCATTGAGGCTGGCTTATAGGTTCAGAGATTTAGTGCATTATCATCATGGTGGGAAGCAAGGCATCATGTAGGCAGACATGGTGCTGGAGAAGTTGCTGAGAGTTCTGCATCTGAATCCACAGACAGCAGGAAGAGAGAGACACTGGGCCTGGCTTGAGCATTTTGAAATCCCAAAGCCCACGCACATTGACACACTTCTTCTAACAAGGCCACACCTACTCCACACCTCCTAAGTGCATCACTCCCTATGAACCTATGGGGCCATTTTCATTCAAACCACCACAGTAATCCCTCAAACTGTGAGACTAAATAAAGCCTTCCTTCCTTCCTTCAGTTTTGTCACAGCAATATGGAAAGTAACTAACATATATTAACTTCCTAAGACTCCAAATGGAATTCTTCCTCTGACCTGTAAGCTAATTATGTTTCTTCTATAATCTTCCTCATTGGCATCTCCATTATCCTATTACCTAAGCTTGAAACTTAGCAATTTGTTTCTACTCTTTATCTTCTTTGTTCAGTGTGACACAGAGCTCCATGAAGCCAAGGACTCTTGCCTGATTTTCTTTTATATCATTTTATGAAGTGGTATTTGAAGCTATTACTAATATATTTGATAATGGAAGAGTGAGTAGGCGGTGTGTCTATAAAAATGTGTTGAGGCTGTAGGCTGCCAGTTTCTCCTAATTACTGTTTCAAGTGCCTTAAGAGCTTCATTGAATGGGTAGCTAAGCTATACCCATTACCTTCCCTGAAACATAGGTTACTGCTGACTTCGTATTCACTGAAGTAAACATGATGATCAAGTTGGTCACAATAGTGTTCAAGGCTGGGTTTTCTGGAAACAGATGGTGGGACAGAAAATAGATTAGAACTTGTCTCTTAGGGATTGGTGTCTATGAAAGGAAGAGGGAGAAAGATTGAGCAAAGAAGATGGTTGAATGTGATACAGGCCTGGCAAAGCTTGGAGCAAACAGAGAGGCCTCTGAATAAATGCTTCATCTGTTGTTTCCTTTTAGATAAGTGGTAAACCTTTAACAGGGTCCCTCATATTCATCATTGTGTGAGCCTCCTCATCCCAAGAGAGGCACAGCCTTGGGACAGATGACTGCAGCTGTGGCAAACCCGGAAGTGACAAACAGATGACTATCAGCATAACCCTCTCACTTAATTGAGAGAATCAGCTAGGTTGTATAACCTTTAACAAGATTCTGAACTTTGCAAGGACTCAAGGTCTTTTATTTATAAAATATGAAAGTACATACTTAGTGGTTAAAAATGAAATGAGACAAAATCATTGCTTTTTAAATTATGTGTACATGGAGTAGGAACATATGTATACATGAGTGGAGGTTCCTGAGCAGGCCAGAGGTTCCTGATCCCCCATGGAGCTGGAATTACCAGCAGAGTTAGATT